CATTTCGAGAACATTGCATAGTTAACGAAATTGATAGGCAACGTAGTAATACTTATGTGAAATGCGTCATAGTTGTAAGCCGTTATTATTTCCTCAGTACGTCATCAAGCCTCGCGTGAAATGTTTCAGTTACATTTAATCCGGTTGCGCATAGTATTAGTATGCATTAGTGTTGAGAAGAAAAGATCGTCAAACATGTGTTTGTTTGCAGGACGACTACGGTCATCGAAAATAACGTATTATAGATATCTCCTATTTAAGATAATTATCCTAGTATTCTTATACTGCGCATATTATCATTCTTCCGAAGTAAATCATTACGCATTCCAAAAATAGCTATATCACTATTCCTTCGACAGGCAAAACGAAGTAGTAGTACAAGAATACCGTGAAAACTTTTAAGAAATATTTATTTTAATGAATGATTTCATAATATCACAACGATTCCAACGTTAGTACGAAAATTCTTCAATCACACTTCATCAGAGTTTCCAAATCAAGTGGACCATTGAGTAAATTACAATTGTAACCTGAAAACCAACAACAGTGATACTTCTGTTAGCAAACAATTACCAATACAAAATTGATAAAAAGCAAAGGACATCTCAGTAAAAACTTTGTTTCTTCTGTGCTATGTTCCGTATAAATCAACTAACACTCCTTTATAGCTGTAAACTCTTCTGACTGTTATCAAGTTTTCAGAATTCAGTGGTTCAAAGCACCACCTCGAAATTTCGCAAAATATACTTCATTTACCTAATTTATTTCAATTTTCTTAACGTAATCAACAATTTACAAGAAATTTTAACATTCCACATGCAAAGAAACAACGAAATTGGATGAAAAATACGTGTTCACTCAAACTGCTTAAAAGGTCTACTTTCCACCACTTTTCTAAGTTTTTTCGTTAAAATATGGTATTTCTAATGCATTTCAGTTGAAAAAACACCTGAAAACGCCATAGAACAACCCAAACACAACATCGCGATAACACATAACGACACCCCGTGTGTGCCCCTATCCATTGCCTTGATAAGGCATATCCCCTGTTTGAAGTGGCGCCTCCAGCTTTACCTTGAGGACATTTGCGCGGTCTAGTTGATTTCAGTTTGGCTGTTTTGTTTCGTTTGATCTAGGTAGCTGCAAGTACAAGATTCGGATTTTCAACACAAATGTCAAAGATTTGCACTGCGCGCCACAAAAAGGATTTCCGATGGGTCTCAAACTTCTATCAACAGCTGCTCTCGCTGGCCCCATACTGAAGATCAAGTGGTCGGCCGGCAAGAGAGAACTAGTAACAAGAAACTCTGGCTGTGAACAAACCAACCAGGAGGAGATCTCAGCACGTATGCATGAGAAAATGGAGGCAGGTCGGATACACACTGAGGAGACCATCGAATAACATCGCGCACAATGCAAGCCATCTCTCGAGTGGAATCCTAATGGGAAGCAACGAGTCGGCCCTCAATTTGGGGGTTACATGTTAGAGATCGTGTTAGGAAGAGATGAGAGATTATGGAAGATTGCGGACCCAGGTAAAGAAGACAGAACCAAATAGAAGAAAGTGAAGATGTGTTGTTGAAGCCCTGTGTTTCGCTCGGAGCCTAAAGGAACAACAATAGTGAAATAGGATGTTTCGATAAACCAGGATGCACAAAACTTAAGTTACACTTAGGATCCTCATGTTTACAGAACCATCTCCCGTACGTACAAACTGTGGCCCTCTCTGATTGCCCTATAGTTGCGTAACACAATCTGTGCAAAAGCTTTTCCAGTATTGCTATTACGCAAGATTCAAAGTCTGTCCGAACGCGGGCCTTCCGTGAGTTGACCGCCAAATCAATTCGGCCACCTCAAGTAGCTTTCCTACCTTTTGAGTTACGTCTTTCTGTCATGAGTCTGGAAATTATTTTTTCCCGGTGAATAAGAGCCTACAATGATATTGGGGACATCATTATAGCCAAAGAAGTAGCACGATCATGGCTGTCGCCCGGGTGACAGTAGATTATTGGCTATCCAATTAATAATTTGAAGAGTTCACTTCCATTTCATCTACTTTCGCCTAATCCTAAACTTCCACTCCATATCTTCTCACTCCTCCCATAAACTAATCAGACTTGCAAGTCTCAAGCATGGCGTGGACATTCCATTTCCTCGCGCTTACTTTAGTCTCACAGAGAGATGACACACTGCTTTACAGAAGGTTTTCACTGGCTGGCATCATCCACATTTCCCAATTCTGAAGAATATTTTAACATCTTCACTTCCGGTTTTCAAAAGAGTTGAAACTGCCTTTTTTCTGATGGGTTTAAAGATTCCAAGCCTTTCCTTCTCTGATTCTCGAGATTTTGCAGGATTATTGTAGGTGATCCACATCTAGTTACAATTTATCCGACATGAACCAGGCTACGAGCGAAGCTTATTCTATATCAGGTGATTATGCTACCTAGTCGCTCAGACTGAGGCAAGCGGAGCCTGATCCAAGCTCAAGAAATACTGACTCGGAGCGGAATGTAGAGCCAATAGGACAAACCTCCAGGGGTGTCACCGGCACGACAGGCGGATGTAATACTCACAGCTTTCGACACAGAATGTCGACGTGATTATCTCATTGGCTTTAGTCGACTAACCTGCTTATACTACCCTGCCTGTTGTATGGCACTGTTGACATTAATTGTTTCTGAGTGAGCGGGACTTGACAGACTTCTAAGCCCCGCAGTTCCGGCTCGCCGAGAGTAGATTATGCTGCGAAAGATGAGGTGGGTTAGACATCGAAGGAGCTGGAGGCACTTGCATGTACTTTTGTACTCTGACTATCACACAACATCCATGCGGTATCTTTGTGGATGTTCGTTAGTCGCTGCTGTTCGCCTCCAGTATCTCTCAGCATCATTTTGGGTCTTGTTCCACCCTGTTCAGTGTTGGCACTCTTATGTTAACAAACTTTGGGGACTCTAAATCATTGATGAAAGTTAGTATCTTAAACTTGTCTTCTTTGAATGAATCCAGTTTGAACTGTTGAAATTTGCTGTTCACTATACCTAGCTGCGTGCAAATATCATCGTCTCCGCTCAGCAGTAGTTCATAGAATTTTGTTATATAGTGAACAAGGATCTGTGGTTTATGAATTGATAACAATGTCTGAATGGCTTCACTGAATGTTCCGTTGATGGGCTGCTGAGTAGGGACCCGATTACAATATTTATCTGCCTCGTCCAAGCCCTACCTGTGAAGTGGTGGTATGACTTTCTGACATTTCTATCTGCGGAAGCACGTAGCGAAAGTAACCATTGCGTTCGGTTTATGAACAAATTCTGACATGCCACTTACGACACTGCCACTGAATGAAAGTGAATCAAGAGAGAATGATTCCCTTAAACCGGTGAGCAAACTACACCACGTAAACCCAGTAAGAGTGAGAGGCCCATACTCAGGATGTCAGCAAACCTGGTGCGCTTGCTAATACCGCAGACTACGCAGTAAATTATAAGAATCTCTGACTTCTGATTGCAACACCAGCCTCAACAATAAGGTACTATCAGCATTAGAAAGTAAGTAAGAAGGTGAAATGTTGACAAGTGACCTGCGACTTTCCAAAACAAAAGTAAACACTTTAAAGCAGTATCGAATACATGGGTAATAAATGACCTTTACGAACAACAAAACTAATGATAAGTCAAATTTATTGACAACCTATAAGATATTCGCTCACGCAAGGAAGTGAAATTCTAGAAAAACCAAGAATGCAAACGGCAAAATGTAGCTATCTATAGGTTGCAGGTGAGGATTAAGTAAATTAGAGGTATGTAACAATATTAGGGATAAAATCTTTGGCATACACTTCCTTATTGGTCCAGAAGCACCATTCGGGTTTATAACAACGAAAAGACCGACCCATGAAAACTGAGGCCTCGTTTTACGTTATGAGCTGCTGACAATAGCCGGATGGCTACTCTTGTGAGGAAAGTGTTGACTTTTGACTTCACATGTAATTAACAGCTTCCATGGGTTTTTACGACCGGTGATCAAGACTTATTATTGCGGACATGAACTTGCCAGAAAGGTGTGTCTTTTCAGTTTGTACCCCGAGGGCAAGGTTGAAAATCAAAGGAATACCCATGCTGTATGCAGAAATGGCCTACCATCTCTATTAAGGAAATAGAAAGGCATGAAGACCACATTCTAGCATTGCTGGAAAAACGGAAGATAGAATTATGACTGCCCAACACCATAAGTGTGGTTTATAAGCGGAAACAATAGAGTTCCCAAGACATCATTATCAGTCAGGATTTGTCACATTGGCCAAGAAGGTGAGTTACATCAAACAGTTTCTACTACCTACCTCATTAACAACACAAAGAAGATTTCTGCAACTTTTTATCACTCTTCGCCAATAGATAAATAATTGCGCACAGAATATGAAACCTTTTATTGATCTTTTGAGTCGAAAACCAAGCTGATTCAAGTTGTAATATAAAGAGATACACACTGTTGCGCAACTGTAAAATGTGCTAGTCAGCTGCACAATTCTAAATAAGTCATATACGGATACACTTCTGATACCAGTGGTAAAGCTTCAAACAACGGTGTTGTCGAAGCCATTGCAGTATGGCAAGGGATACCCAAAGTCGAAATAGACATGTTTGAAGTAATCGTGAGACCTGGAAATTGTTTCTAACTTCCACTTTCCTGTCGCCAACATACTTGTATAAGACAACAAAAACTTAATCCGTAGCATGAGCTAGTATTTGAGTGGTAAACAATTTGTCTTTCAAAGGTATGATAACATTCATATATACAGACTATAATCTTCCTTACGATGTCAAAGAAATGGCATAGACAATCGATTTTCCGAAACGCGAATACTACACAATGAAATAAGGCGAGAATTATTAAGCAAAGAAAATAGTTAAAGTATTTATTACATAAGTGGCCTGTTTATATAACTATGGAACTAATTATAAATACAAAATGATCCAACTTCATACACGCAGCGAGAGAAATCTTCTTCGATGGCGCTAAATATATATGATGCGCTACAAACGTTCGACCTTCATGTTCGGCACTATTTAGAAAGTTGGGTAAGTTGTGTGAGTCATCGCTAAGTGTATTGGGCTTGAATTAACATCTGCTACTCTATTTGAATGTACTAAGAGCTAGTCACCTCTTCGTTTCCCAACTGGAAACACCACAATTAAAAATATACCAGAATTATCTGCTGAGAATCCTTCCGGGCGAATTCTTTTAAACACCACCTCTTTGACTAATGGAAAAGTGGCATAAAACTTCTTTATAAAATAAAATCTCCGTAATCACTAGGTCGATTGTGGATTTTACTGATACAATTCATAGAATCTTCACAAATATTTTGTTTCATTTACCTGGGGAGAGAAATGCTGTAGTTCACCTCGTCTTTAAATATGGTTATTGAAAATTTTTTATGCTTATTATTATAACCGTGAAAATCATATTTGTGAAGTCTCAACGAAATTGAAATAAGTAATTCCAACGTTTCGTTTGGCAAACTCGTCCGAACTTCTTCAAGGAAATTAATTGAAATTAACGTATAGAGGTTTATACATGAAAAGGACATTTCTTGTTTTTAAAAACTTTGTCCAGTTATATGAGTCGTGAAACAGGCATCAAAATATAATAAACAAAATTGCAGGAACTGTGATCAAAATTTGACCTCAGACTTACAAATATTAGTCTACATTTGTTAAACACTTTAAAAAGAGTGTACTTTTCATCAGAATTTTAGTGATTACGTTTGACTAAAAGTTCATGGTCGTAGATAACTGAATATGGAAATATATGTGTATATGTGGTATGCAGTGTAGTGTGTGTTTATGAGTAAACAACTGTAAAATTTAGACCAAGTACGATTAATTAGTGATACATATTCATTTTTTACTTAGTAATCAGGATTTGCCATGCATCAGCTTACATCACACCTTCACGTCTGTTCAAACTGTTGGAATTCACCCATATCTGCAAAGCTTCTGCAGTCAGTCCTTATTTATATAAACCAAAACCCTTCTGTCGAACCTTAGTCCCATAAAAACCAAACAAGAGTTGTCATTTCTACGTATAAACTTCTGTTATGTTAATTTCGAGTAATTTCCCTGAAGAAGTTCGGACGAGTTTGCCGAACGAAACGGAATTACTCATTTCAATTTCGCTGGGATTTTACAAATGTCTACTTCTCACTCGGCAATCAATTATTGTGGAACTTTTTGGTCAAATCTTGATCACAGTTTATGTGAAATATTATGGCTGTTTTTAAAAAAAAGTTGGGGGTAAGTAGCATGCGTTTGACGGCACACTGTTTATCGATGCAAAGGCGCTGCGGTCACTGACTTGCATAACGAATTGTTTTGACCAAAAAAGTATGTTCAAATGCAAGGGACAGTGTGTTATCTGTTAGCTTGGCATTCACCACACTTTTTAAAGGCACTTGACAAGATGACAGCTTACTGAGGAAGCCCTCTAGTCCCAGTTTACACTGCAGAGTGTATTTATCTATTCGTTGGCCTAGTGTCTACTTTTCGTAGCTGTTACAGAATGACTGCCTTAAGACAAGGAATTCTCTGTTCTCTCTATTAAGAATGAGATTTTACTTAGTTTAAGTATTCTAAACTTATCGTTATATATACAAAGTAACCCCACAATCCAGAATGCTTTTGCTGCAGTCATTTCACAGTGTGCTGCTGTCTTGACTTTGCAGCTGTTAATGTAAGGTGATACTGACCTATCCATTGATGGGGATAGTAAGACGGTTAACTAAGGTACATTACTGCCATTGCTGGAATCGATTTTCAAACTTCAGCGTTTAGACTGTTTGGTTTGTTCTTCCTCTGCACGTTTCTCGACTTCACTTCTGCTTTCGACTCTGTACCTAGATGTTTCTTGCTAAATAAGCTCTCTATGACACAAACTGAGTCCTGGGTTACTAACTGGTTGCATTCCTACTTCTTTAACAGAATGCAGCACACTGTATGCAAAGGTAAATCCTCCTCTGCTGTGCTCACTGAAGCTGGTGTCCCCCAAGGTGCTGTACTCTCCCCACTTCTCTTTTCTTTCTTTCTACATGACTTACCATCTTCAAATGACATTAATTGTGTCAAATATGCTGACGACCTGACTGTATCTTTGCCTGTCAAATGTCAAAGTGACTGCTCCAAGCTTAATGGCTTTCTATCAGAAATCAGCCAGTGGTCCAAGGAAAACGGTCTTACCTTAAATCCCTAAAAAATGTCAAACAGTCGATTTCACCTTTAGACATAAATCTGACCTAAACAAACTGGTTAGCACTCACGAAGTGTGCAACATAGTTAGCACCTAAATAGAGACCAAGTCGGAAATTAAATATCTTGGCGTCGTTCTATCTGCTGATCTCTCCTGGTCGTCTCATATCTTGATGATTTCTAAGAGAGTATTCCATCTTACCTCCTACATCAAGAAGTTAAGACATTCTGGAATAACCCAGCCCCTACTCTTACGATTCGTTAACTCTCGCATTCTGCCTATTATTCTCTATTTTTCCCCCTTAGTTTTTCCCGGGCTACTGAAGAAAGACTATATCTTATTACGCAGGATGTTAAAGGCTGTCAGCAGTGTAAGCAATGTGCCACTTAACCAGCTTGTTAATATTCTGGTTGACAGGCAGATGGACTCATGTGAAAAATGGGCTAAATCCACTTTATCTAATTCACACCATCCTCCTCATTCACTCTCCCCTTGCATCAGGCAAAACCAGAAACCCATACAGAAAACCATATGCTCGCACTAGAAAGTACAAAAACTCAACTATACCCTACTAAGTTCGTGTTCTGTATGATAAAGAAAGCATTAGGTGTGATACCTATAACTTATTAAATAGTCAGTAGAACAACTGGATCTCGTCTTTCCGAGTCATATCATTTATAGGTACAACGTTTTCTTTCTTTTCTTTTTCTCTCTTTTTCTGTTGTGCTGCTTTGTTTCTTCCGCTTACACCAGTAAATATGATAGCACCTGCTTTTCTCGACGAAACTGTGAAATTACATCGACTGAGATGGTTAGGACATGCCTAGTCATCGCCTGATATAGGGCCAGGCTGGAAAAGAGCTAGTGGCGGTCAAACGGAAACATGGCACCAGTCAATGAAATCTAAAACAGTTAATCTAAGCCACGTAGGAAGGTGCAGACTTCCTGGTTGGGGTCCTCGGGACGGTAAAAATCAATGGTTGGAAACAATTTAGTGACATGGCTCAAAATCGTTCTCAATGCATAGCGCAGATGCATCCACTCCTTGTGACTTATGACCTTGTGACTTAAACTGTTTTGTTCTTCGTTATTACTATTCCTTTGTCTCACACCTCTGTTTACTGTCTATATTATGCATTTCTCCTACTTCCTTCTCTTCCTTTGTGTGCTACATGGAGTGTGGCGACTTGAACTGCCGCACATATGTGCAAAGTTCTATGTCGAAAACCCACCGACCTGCTTTTCTAACACCTTCAAACACTGTTCAATTTCGGCGTTGCTACCGACATGCCAATATGTTGTTGTCATAATGAACTGAGATTTCCCCTACCTATGTAGAATTTTATTTATTGATAATGTACTAACTGGATGCAATACTGTAGTAAAAATGCTGACAATTCCATCCTGTATCACAAGTACTGTTTTGGAATAAAGCAAATTATTATTATTATTAAGTCAGTCTAAATTGCCAATTTATCGTTATCGTGGTATTATTTCCGTGTATCGATAACGGCAATGTGAACATCTCGGTAACCCATAAGTGCAGAATAAGTACAAGGTAGATATCAACTTAGTACCATGTAGGACAGCCTTGGTGACTAGTTTCCATTGAAACGGTTATCAGTTCACTCGACGCCTAACCTCATTATTACTCACCCCATATTACACCATCTAACATGGGAGGTAGAATGCAGTCACCTACAACCTAAGACAGCTAGCCTTTGCATGTCTCCCACTTTCACTGGCCATGTCACACAGCCATCAAGGGGAAGCACGGAGAGAACTTCTGAGCATTACACACGTCCCTTAGTCAACAGTCGGGCATCACGTCGACTCCAGAGATGGCGTAAGTTGGTTTATGCCAAATGATCCTTTCTGTATCCGTGCTGAGATTTCGTCAGCGGTCAACCATTTGGGGCTAATGCAACTTCCCAAATAATTGGAGTAGTCAACACTCTCTACTCCTTCACTCCCTATCTTTAAGCTAGGAGTCGATGTAGTCCAGTCCTGTAGCATCATCTTACATTTTGTAGGAGTGAATTGCATGCCAAACATTCGAAGATTGCTACTCAAGGTGTTCATAAGACTCTGCATTTTGTCAGCGTCTTCACCTAGCAGGGAGGACTATATCGTCCGCATATTCTAAGCCACCGAGATTATTCCCTGGTAACAAGTCAATCCCTAAGTCGCTGAAGTCAGTTAGGGTTAAAACCATTAGTACATCTATGATGAAATTAAATAGAAATGGGGACAGTAGGCATCCCTGACGGACACTACTGGTTGTCATCACTTCAAATGACAACTCTCCGTAACCTCTTGCTTGGCTGCATGAGTTCGAGTAGAGTGCCTTGATCAGTGTAATGTATTTTCTTAGCATAACCTTCACGGCCAGAGATTGCCACAACATACTCCTCTGTCGGACTCGCCTCCCTACTGGATATAACCGCAAAATCTCTTGATTTAAGTTAAATACCACCCTCAAATTAGGAAACACGACAACTGTTAGATACCATTTCAGGAAGAGAAGTGGTCCAATAAGTCATCTTTGTACTTCTGTATTTGAATCTTCTTACCGCTTCTAGCTGCAGTGTTTTCCAGTCAACTGCACCACTCCAAGAAAGTTTGTCCTATTTCAAATTGAAAACTGCTTTCAAAGTCTTATACTGTGCATTGATAAATTCAGTAGTCTGAGTTATCTCGTTTTCTGTCGTGATTCTTAGCTTACTTGTCTTTATCTACCAGGCGTTTGACGAGTTATAAAAATAGTGTATTGTTTTTCTCTGAAATTCGCAGTAGTCTGTTAAAGCAAATATAATTACCTCTACTCACTTGTTAAGTGTTAGGGGAAGGTGATAACTATGCAGGTAACCTTGCGTTTCTCGGTCACTAGACGTAATCTTGTCACGTTTTTACTTTTCACTTAAAAAGACAGTTAAATATATGTGAGTAGTTAATTTTTATGCCTTATAGGTTGACCTCTTTTTGAGTGGAACTAGTTGAAAAATGAAGTCGCTACTGAGCGTAAGTTTTCACTTTACAGTGCCATGTTTAGTTGTAGAAGTCTTCAAGACCAGTATTTCTATCAACCCTTGTTTTGTTTGATGTCGAAACTACAGGCTTACCATCTGCAAATTTCAAACCCGAAATAACAGAATTATGCATGTTAGCATCTAGTCGTTTTAATCTGGAGACTGCTACTGAAGAACCAAGAGTAGAAAATAAACTTACTCTGTGCTTTAATCCTACACGAACTATTTCATCTATAGCTTCTAAAATCTCAGGTAAGTGTTTATATACGTTAATTAGTCTTAACATTTGCAGGTTTAAATGCTGATAATCTGTTCCACCAAAAAGATTTCGATTCCAGTGCTGTAGATCTTATTCAGTTATTCTTAAATCGATTAGATTCACCTGTATGTTTAATTGCCCATAATGGACTACGTTTTGATTTTCCACTATTAAAAGCTCAGATAATGAGTGTGAAGGGAAAAAACTATAATCTTAATGATTGCACAAATGCACCGATTATATGCACAGATACTTTACACTTGTTTCGTGAGTTCGCCTCCCAGCTTTCTGGAACAAACTCAGATGATTCAGGCTTTATTTCAACTGATGATCAATCAGCCTCTCCTGTACCTATATCTCATTCTAGTCCAAAAAAGTTAGCTAACACTACTACAAATAAGCATTCCTTTCACTTAGCTGATGTATATGAACGTGTATTCGGTGAAAAGCATAAAAATGCGCATAGTGCAGAAGGTGATTGTAGAGCTATGCTACGATTAATTCAATACTTGGGTTCACCTGCTATCGATTGGTTACAATCACATTATCAAAATTTCAATTCACTAACACCTATGTATACATTACCAGCTTCCAATTCAAGTCGTTTATCATTATCATCATCGATATTCCCTTATCAGAGAACAACACAAAGTTATTTAGATCCACGTGTTGATAATACTACTTCACTGTTTGATGATTTACAACTAGAATAATACCAAAAATTAATTTGTAATGATAAAAGTTGACGAGATTTTCAATACATACTACTGCTTTTTAGTATATTTTTTTCTATGGATTTATCTATTTTTGACTACTGTTTTGGTTTGTTTTTATGAGTAATCTAATGCTCTGATAATTAATTTCTTTAATTTATATTTCTTTTTTTGGAAACATCAATGACTTTGACTTTGGTGTTTACATTTATTATATTTTGTCAATATTTACTACCTTTCCTACCTATTTATTGGTTTATTGATTTATTTTGCTGTGTTTATTTGGTCAGAAATACTACTTCTTGATCTATTATTTCTTTATATTGAATAATATTTTATTTCTCTTATTGTTTTTCTTGAACTGTGTACAAAAAACTTCGATAGGTACACAAGTTCAGGTAATGGGTATTTGTATTGATTTCCTATTGATACTGATTGGCTATTATGAATGTATTTTCCTATCTTATCGAATTTTTAATATTCACTAACTTTATTTATACTTACTTAAGCCTTCTGGAAGTTCTTTTTTAACATTTTTTTCTTGTGGAACTTCATTTTAGGCGAGTATAATAAGTATAATGAAGAGATAATATTCAATAGATTTTTTTTCTTAATTTGAATATGGATCATGTAATATTATGATTTTTATTTCTTTCTTTTTTTGTTCACTTCAGTCACACATTTTACATAAATTCAATATGAGCTATATTGATTTTTTTTATTTGTTATTGTTTTTCTGTCACTCTACAGAATATCAATTGTGTGTAGCTATAGAAGGGATAATAGAAATTAGTGATTTATTTTTTGCTCATTTAGCGATTACGGTTTACAGAAAAACGTAGGATTTGACTGGACGGAAGAATTGTAACCAGAATGATATAAGCAACATAAAAGTAGGTAGATGAAGTTATTTTTATTGGATGGTTGGAGCTAGGAAACCTTCAACACCACCTAGGTTTCGTGCTTTTAGCAATCGTCAGCAAAGTGTATCTTCGGTCTTGACGGAACTCATTTCTTTTCTGAGATTCAAACCCGCTTCCCCTAGTGATTCCGTCAGAGACGTTACCATTGAGCTATTTGAGCTCCTGTAATGGACACTTTGATTGGGCACTACGTAGTAACTAATGTTACTGTGATAGTTAGCCACCTAGGATGGTCTCACGACATTAGTTAACACTTAATGTCCAATTAAAAGATTACAGGATTAATGTTTACTATGAAATAATATGTAGTGCGTCGGTGGCACAGTGGTTAGGACGCTCGCCGACCACACACATAGTCCGGGGTTCGATCACCGGCCGACGCACTCCTTTACCTCGCTAAGCCAGTAATAGAACTGATAATGAGGGAAGGTTAGGCATAAGGCTAGCAACCCCATCCTGTAAAAATAAACACTACTACAGAAGCATTTAGCTTGAAGCCCTATGTTCCATCAGGAACGTGAAGGAATAAAAACACTGAAATAATATATAGATTCGTGTAGTTGTATTTTCTGAGCTGAACATTTTATGTCAAAAGCTTTCATTGCCTTTCTAGGCAACATATTCAGCGCAGGCTTACTTCATAAAAAATATCAACTTTCAGTCATTTAATATATGTATAAACTCGTGTTTTTCAGATTACACTTAATCGATATATAGGATTTCAATTTTGATCACGGATAGATATCAGTGTGGTGAGAGATGGTTGCTAGCCAAATTGGTAGACAGTAATTGACGTCAATGTTTATGTCTCAAATATTAGTCATGCGAAAACAAGGTCAAAAATGAGAACAAAGGCTTTGCGTAGGCGGATACAGTTAGCATATGGATGATTTGACACAGTCAAAAAGAGATGCATGGTTAACTTTCTGTGAGAAACAAACAATCAAAAGACTGCATTTTCTGCTAACAATCTATAATAATGTACATTAAAATCTATAAATATGTGTTGATTTTCCTTAATAAACGATCTGTTGCCTGACTCTTGCCTTCTGTCGTTACATCAGTAGGAGAATAGAAGCTAAAACTAACGGGTAACTGGATCCTGTCTCAATGTCTGAATGGTCAGTGTGCTTGCCTCATCACTTGGAGGTCCTGGGTTCGGCTATGGGTGCGTGCTGATGATGAGTCCCAAACCAGGACAAAACAGCCGTCTAGTTCTCTCTGGTTCTCAGTGTTGCTCTAACTGATATCAATCGGTGATCAAACTTAAAACCAGTCGATTGCTTACAAAGTATCACCTGAAAATAATTATAGTATTCTCAAGGTGACTTAAATCACTAGTCAGGACGTGTCCTTATCTCATTTATTCCCAGTGTATTTGTACTTTACTTAGTTTTAAACTTCTATGAGGACGAGGATTCATGCGTTTGTGTTCTTATGACATATTAGTTTCATTGGATTCAAAACGTATTAATCTCTGTATGCTTTCAAAACCATATTATTCATCCATCAGTCGGAAAAAAGCGTATACATCTTTACGGGAGCAGCTGAACAAACTACTGATATTTATCGGAGATTTTTAGTTGGCGTACTCCATTTGCTTAGAGAAAAGAGTACATGTCTGTCTGTTATATCTTTCCCACTGAAGCAATCCATTCTTGTCTGCTACATGTATTTAACTTCAACTAATGTTGAATGAGGGTTTTTTTACATACGTCTATGAGACTATTCGAAATTCCCTAGGTAATCAAAGTGATCATTACAAACTACTTAAATTCCTGTGACCAAAATATGTATGAACAATGACATTTAAAAATTATGTTGCACTAAGTCGTCCCTGTATAACAGACTTATTTCGTCCACATTTGAACAACTTTAAACCATGTCACCAGGATTACCCAACCACTGAGCGCTAACCTTCAGGGACACCCAGCCAGGCAATTCATACCCTATATAGCTCAAGCCAGCAGTCGGTGCCTTCATGGTTTGCTACCATGTTTTCAGTCTGGTCGCCTCTAATTCTTTTCTAGATTAATCGTATTCCAGTCAACATCGCTCGTCTTGCCCGGAAATTCGTCTTAAAATCATAATTACATTTACCAGGTAGTCCATTTAAGTCACTGACCATTCTGTGAAAGTCATATGCTTCGGAATATGATTGCCATTGGTGTAGCAGTCAACAAAATTTTACTATTCTGCTGTATTATTAATTTGCTCTTAATTCGAATACCTACGTCAGGTTGCTTAGTTGACTGTGTGTTAGGTATGTTGTCTTCTTTTGACTTGGCTGATTGGTCTTATATATATATAAAGAATGTGCAGTTGCTTTACTCGCTCTCTTGCCGACACTATTTGCCTGGGTTAACAACTCTTTTAAGTTCACAGTGGACCTTGAATATTTCCTTTATGACAGAAGTTCATACCACTGTATCACGAAATATCGATTGATTGGATTTCGCAGAATACCTTTCCCACTTGAAATTGCTTAGCTGTTAGTTTATTACTGATAGTTACATTCGTTTATCGATTATGAAGAATATATGAATGGATACAAAATTTAAAAAGTAATCGCAAATGGTTTATTTTTAGAAGTGTACAGTGTTTTAATTTATTATTGGTAGCTACATATCTTGAATTTATGTTAATGTATCAATTTGTGATTTTACAGCAAATTAAATTCAAATCCAAAGGTTCGATGTGATTGCAAATGTAACAGAAATGTAAACTAATGTAATTTACACTGAATGTGTAGTGGTGTCAGTTTTTTTTCTAAATATATTTGTGAACAGTTTTAGATATGTTTACAGGTGTTGATTTTGCAGAAATTTCATTGATTTCAACTTAGATCTACTTACTCCAGAGAATTTACATCAACTAGTGTTGATAATAATAATACTACATCAAAGATGACTTAGTTGCAGTTGATACACACAATATTAACAAGCCTGACTAATTTGAATTGAATGTAATAATCGATAGAGGAAAAGCAGCAATTGTATTTTTCTCAGAAAATCGATTGTATAAACAGAAACACGTTGAGTATAGACATATGAAACGGCAATATTGGAAGTTTTGTGAGTGTATATTGATTTGAGAAAGTATACTACTACTAATAATAATAAATCTACTTTATTCCAAAATGATTACTTATAATACAGAATGGAATTCTCACCATTTGTAACAATATTGCATCTGATTTACTCAAAATATAAATAAAATTAAAACAAAATTAGCCAGAGGAATTTTTCCACATTTACGATATAAAGTCAAAAATATTGGAATTGAGAATATTAAATATAATAATAATCATAACATTGAGTTTGTTTTAAACAGTATTGTCGATTGATTTTGGAAATTTTAGCATGTTATAGATTATTGAATCTAATGTTCTGTTGATATAGTGTGGTGAGGAGAAAGGTAAAATTAACAGTTATAACACAGCTTAAATGATGTTCACACTTATGAAAAAAATAAACAAAAACAAAAAATTGAGAGGATTATAAATATAAGAAGTACACTAACAATAAAGTTTGATGTTATAAGGGTGGAGGAAATGGTTTATTTAATAGTGCAAATAAGGTTAGCTAGTTCATGCCTAACACTATTTTCATCACATAAAGTACGTGCCACCAAATATGGTATAGTGGAATTTTTGTACTTAGACGTACGTGCATAAAGTCTTCTGGAAAGACTTCTTGTTTTGGTTACAGGATTTCATCATGAGCTGACATTGGTTAGAGAACCACTGGAAAACCTGGGAGTACTGGACAGCTGTTTCGTCCTAGTATGGGACTCTTCATCAGTACGCATCCACATGGGTTCGAACCCAGGACCTTCTGGTTACAAGGCGAGCTCGTATACCATTAAGCCACTGGGCTCCGATCCAATGGTTCTTGAATTCTAACTTCTGCTAATTCACGATATAACGCAACCGCTGGACAATGTCTTCGGCGTGTATTTGTCCTCACACACGACCTGCTGCACCCTACTGGTCACGGCTTCCCACTGGAACCCCAGGTAACTACCTACCTGAATAGGGCCAGTCGCCAGTGAGCATCTCATTGATATTCAAGTATTGGTTTGTAGGAATTTGGTTGATTGTTTTACCTGAGGAGACACAAGGTTGGAGCTGCGGGTAAAGTGGATGTTCACTGTCTGAGAAACTTCCTTGAGCAAATTTGTCGCTTATAGCTCACAAATATGAATAATTTATTCCTTTCAAGCAGTACTAAGTTCTTCTGACTGCAATATCTGAAAAACACTTAGATTACACAAACGTCTAATCCACCTGATTATGCAGTGGAAAGGTGATTAGTCTCTCTTTTAATATCGTTTAAAATGGGACGGACATCTCACAGACTTCCACAGTTGAATCTCTTTAAATACAAAATGAAAGCTAATCTACCCATTTGTAGTCCTAACACCATGAGCATACTTAAAAAGATTTTTATTGAAAATGGTTACGTAATCACGAAATTGATGAAGCCTACACCATTAAAACCGTGAAGTTTGTTCAGTCACTGAACCTACAATATTCCTAATCTGTCTCAACAATTGATGCGTAATCCAACTGTTTTGGCATTTTTATTTATATTACTTCTCATTATTACATTTCCACTCCTTACGACACTGATCTTGACTCTTTCAATTTCGGTTGAGTTCTACTCAACCTTGTCAATTAAATTTGCTTTATTCTGGTTTTTACTCTATTGTTATCTAAAAACTTACAATTTCACTGACATATCTTTGGAAACATTGCTTTCCTTGTTATGAAAATTTACTAAATGTATGCTATTGTACAGATTAACGAGAATATTGCCGAAAAGAGTAACTCTTCGCCGGATGCTTCTCCTTTTATTTGACTTAGTGGGGATTTTTAATTTGTTTAAAATTTCCCTTGATAGGTTTTGTCTCATATATGAAGGGACTAGGATGGTCTCTCCCATATTGATTATTCTATCATCTAAATTGAGTATATTGAAAAGGGTACATATTGTTAGTCAGCCAATCCAATATTTCAGAGTAAACATGCATATTTCTAATATGGAGTAGGTCAACATGACTGCTGGATATTGATATATATATAGTATCAATTCTCCTTCACTTCTTGAGCTCACCAAAACGTCACGCTATAGACTACTAATGTGCATTCCCCTATTTTTATTTTATTGTTCCCTTGGGTTCTGAATGAAACACAGGGTTTCAAAATCACATCTCCACTTAATCCTGTTCTCCGCGGTCCTCTTTAGCTGGCCTCACAATTTCCCATAATCTTCCAATTCCTTCTTGCACGATCTTGTAAGTTACTGGTAGTGCTGTTGATCATCTACAATTTACCAACCTTTACTTGATTTAATTTGCCTAGTTATCCAATAATCCACCTAACTTGTAAGTACTAACGACTGCCCCACATCCAACTTTCATTAATACTCCACTTATTTCAATTATCATCTGATTACTAAAAGTTTGAATTTGAATAATGCTTTATCCGATACTTAGGTTTCGAATTGTGAAATTCTATAGAATTCAGCTGTCATAAATGTACAGCATCTATTAGCAATACAGCCTTTTTCTCTGGATGAATGACTTAAAACTCCTCCTGAGGAAGCCTAGCACAACACACAGTTAGCTGTAGACACAGCTGTAAATAACCTGAAACCTTAAGTTAGTGAGAGCCAGTGGATTTCTACCACCTCATCCGAACTGACTGATGCAAGAAGACTGATTCCGGCGAGCTCCGATTATGATGAGGAGTGAAAGCTACTCAAACGCAAACTATCAAGAAGTCTTCGCAACGACCGTGAACAGTGGTGGGCGAAAAAGCTAAGGAGATAGAAAAGGCATTGGCTATAGGTAACACTAGACAACTATTCAAACTTTTCGGGGAAACAGGTGGTAAAACGCAAATGATAACTGAAACAATGTCCGAGAAAGATGGCACCATAATTAGCCCCCAAGACGACTGAAACGTTGGAAAAAACACTTTGAGGAGCAGTTTAATTACCCTACAGCCACGCCCAACTTACCCAGCACCTCCCTAAATGGGATATAAACACAGGTCCTCCGTCTCCAACTGAGTTTACAAAAGCTATCACTAGTCTGAAACGAGGCAAGCTATGGGACCCGATGGAATGACTCCAGAGGTATCTAAGTATGGTGGAGACAATTTACTGTCTGCGCTAAGGTATTAGGCAGCGTTTGGGAATCAGTGGAAGTCCCGTCAAGTTGGCGTAAGTCACTGATTATCCCCATATACAAGAAAGGAGACAAGTCTTCCTCTGATAACAACAGGGGGATTAGCTTGACTAATATGGTATCTAAAGTTCTAGGCTCAATAATAATGCGCAGACTAAGTGGTGCTCGGGAGGCACAAACACGAGAGAACCAGGCAGACTTTAGACCAGGAAGAGGGTGTATTGATCACATATTCACCCTGCGACAGATTCTAGAACATAGGCGTCCAACAGGCGCCATATTTCTTAACCTAAAGGCGGTATTCGATCCCGTCAACCGAGAGGTACTATGGCGATGTTTGGCTGTGAAGAGAATGCCGAGGAAATACATTGCACTGATCAAGGGACTATACTCGAACTCATACAGCCAGGTAAGAGGTTACGGAGAGTTGTCATCTGAAGTGATGACGGCCAGTAGTATTCGTCAGGGATGCCCACTGTCCCATTTCTGTTTAATTTCATCATAGATGTACTAATAGACTTAAAAAACTTCAGTAATCACCTACGGTCCACTCCACATTGAAAATGAAATATAATTTCAAGGTAGACTTCGTCATGAATAGAAAACCATTGAAAACCAGGGAGCACTCGATAACTGTTTTGTTCTCTTTCGAGACTCCTCGGTACTTGATACCCCACCAGGCCAACTCCCAAATAATAACAGTGGTATCTGATGGACAGCTGACTCCATACAAATCTAACATATGCGATTCCTCAGATTTTTTTGATAAATAAAATTCGTCGTGTAGGTGTCTAATAAGGCATTACACTAAATCTACCTGTTGTAATGTGGATAAGCGCTCAGTGACGAAGGCGAACACTTTAATAGCAACCGGATTCAAGAGATTGGAGAAATAAACTGGGCGATGGGATGTGATAAGATTACTGATGGGCTAAATGAACTAACAAGTGAATACAACGATGTCAGTTATTACTAAGCCTCTTACTTCATCATTTTATTCGTACTTACCATATTTTTGGACTCCTTCCATCTATTCTTAACTCCCAAACTTCCTATCACACTGTATATATAAGCTTCACTTGTTCGGCTTTAACTTTCTTGTATTGAAACTTGTAACATAACTGCGGTAGCAATTATTAAATGCACCTTGATCTAAAGTATGTCACACACCTTCACTTACAATAACTCTCGTGATCTTTAGGTTGTTAGCAGCCAAAGAATAATAGTAAGCTCTTTCTGTCGCAATAAATAAATTTGTGCGTGTTTTCTTTAAACTAATCTAACCAGTCCGGGCTTCTATATTGTGGTTGTCACTTATTAGACTAGACAAATATATTCCTCCATTTCTGAAAATAACGAGAAGTAATGAGAGCTTCCTCGAATACTCTTGATGAGTATGCTTACTCGTACTTATGTCGTACCTTAATTAATCTATTTCTTTTCTTTGTATTGCCTTATTATTTTTGCTTGACTCATCTCTTGGTGCCACAGTATACCAAATGTGTTTCAGATAAGTAAAAATATCAGGTTGACGAGTCGGCGTCCATTTAGTCAATCAGAAACTAGGGGAAGACCCTACTTACTAAGCTCCGAACATCCAATGCAGGTAATATGCCAATGTTAGAGTTAAGTATTACGACACTACAAGAACCATAATAAGGTTGATGAACTACAAAAATATACTGTCCAACATTTTGCAATTTAAAACCATTGTTGAGGAATTCAAATCTCTTATTTGGTAAATAACTAGTTTGGTAAATGTCTCCCCAGATTACGCAAATTTCGATATTTCAGTACATGCATTCAAACTGAGTAATGAGTAAATAGGATGAAACAAGGCGTCACAAATATCGTGCATACAACTACCTGTAAAGCTAAATGGACCATAATTCATTAATAATCACAATGTTTAAAGTAACCTAGCTGCAAACCTGGCCTTCATAGTTAACATAAATAAATTTACGAGGTGTCCGCTACCCTGTCAGGGAAAATAAGCAAACAGGACCAATGAATAACTTAGGTTCAACATGAGTTCAGCAAGCAGGCTAAAGAACCATCACCAACATGTAACCTTAGACACCACACTACTAGACCCTAGCCTACAATAGTATCACAAGACGACTTCGTACATTAGACCTCTATCCGTGACTGCTGATGACTACTACTGATCATATTATTGGCGAGTCAAATACTTCAGGTTAATCAGAATAAAATACAGACTTCCTTTACTATCGGACGACTACTTGCGCACACCACCTGGCTTCAGACAGGGCGGGGTATGACTTACATAAATCCACTAACTTAAGCATTATCGCGCCTGAATCTGCTTATCTAACCAATAACAGGAAATAGTGGACGATACTCTAACACTCGGTGGAAACTGCATACAGCAGGCTAGGATTTTGACTGTGTTCCAATTCTGAGTAAGAGTTTGCTGAGCCATGCTCTAGTTCAATTCAAAATTCAATCTGTAACACAACCAATTCGTAACGAGAAAATGAGCGAGACAGTATTGTCGAATCCACTTAGACCATGGCATTAGTATTACCAGTAGGCCGAGACTCGTCTGTCAGATAGATTCAGGCAAGCAGATAGTCCTCAAGGGCAGTTTGAGAAAAATTCGCATTAGTAGAGTATCTCACCAAAACCCCGAACATAAGTAATAATGGGACATTCACGATGTGTGAAAGCCACCTGACCAAGTAACAGTCAATCTAACTGCAAATGTCTGGAAGCCAATAATGAATATAGAGATCAATAATATTAAGTAGTGAGATGAAATATGTACAATATGTTACAGAATAAAAAGTGCTTCTGATAACATGATCACAGGGATTGGAAAGCAGTTATTCTTAACTGAAGTTCGTCGTAGAAAAATCATGGTCAAACGCCTCACCATTCAAAAGTTCCATAAGGTCACTAAGACTCTCTTCTGAATCATATGCATCACTCAGTCCAGGAATGTCTTCAAGTTGATCATCCTGAAGACTGCATAAAATGCTATCATATAAAGAAGGAGAACTTGGTGTCAAGTTGTCAGTGGGATCGAAGTTTCCAGGCTTTTGGGTTTCAGATACATTTTCCGATGTAACTTCAACGACTTGTGCATCGAACAACGTTGATGATATATCGTCCGGAGCGTCTTCATAGAGGGGATTGCAGGAAGATTCCGAATCTGGCAATTGTAAAGGCATAGTAGTACGGAGAGGCAGAGAGCCACTCCCTTCTGCTGAGGGAGGAGTGCTGCAGACTCTTGTGGCTCAATCCGCCTCTCGGTAATATTGCCCATATGTTTTATAATACCCTCTAGTTTCTTCTGAAGGGTCTGGAACTTCTCCTCCTGCTCGATAAACTTTAGCCGTAGCATTCTATTTGATGTCCTTAAATATTCATTCTCCCATCGTAGTTGGGCCAAGCTTTCCTCCATGTTTTCCATTAAGCCTTTCTTGCGATCACGTGCTTTTTGAGCCGCCTCTCGATTTAATATTTTCCTGAAACATTAAAGTAAAGTGTACACAGTTATTGCGAAGTACCTTCTGATCATTTTCTCTTCTTCCGTGAGATTATCTAAGCGAGCTCTTTTCCTGTGCACATAAATACCAGTCGGTTCTGGTTGTGAAACGGTCCTTTTCCCCACATTAAACCGACTTGGCTGGCAAGGCAATCCACTAACACTGACTACAAGAGGGTTCCACATAGTTCCCGATAAAGCCCGCCCAAATGATGTGGCACTTTTCAATGTTTCAATAGGCAGTGGGTGAGGTACTATGAGGGACACCCAAACTGAATCACCAAAATGCCACTGGTCTAAGATTTTCACAAACAATAATAGTGTGCTGCATATTTATGAAATATGTAAATGGGATCACCAGTTTAGCAATAGTTCCAGCACAGTGTAATATTTTGTGAACCAATGGATAGTGCCAAACCGCAAGACAGCATACATACTGACTCATAGGCTATTCACTCTTCAAAAAATGTTAAAAAGGCTGTATCTAACCTTTATCGCTCGTCCTATTTCACTAGTTAATAATAAGCCCTCAGTCTCTTCCATCATCACTGCGGAGCCTAGTGAGTTCCAGTTATCTTGGAACCTGTTTCTGCCACAATGAATCTTGGCTCAGTAAAACCGCATTGTTAAAGTCGCTAGATTTGACTGTGTTGTCACAGACATATCATGCGCCACATCTACTACTTGTAACTATCATCTAATAACAAAATACCTGAGTTCAATAAAGGGCCTTATAGATCCATTTAGCAACCAATACGACATGAAATTATCCGCGCTCGACGCCAGAAATGAGGGACATAGGAGCATTTGTCATGAATAGATTTCTCCAGAGATTGTTGACTCTCCAACTTCGTGTAAAATCTCTTCCTCGCACAAAGTAAGACCATGTCGCTTGGAGATGGCACATATCCATGATGTATCCCACCTATTCTGATATAATTATGAAAGCATCTAAATATTTTTGATAATTGTAACTCTATTTCCGGAAACTGCGGCTTCGTTTCAACCATTCATTTGCTCACCTGAACACAGGTGATGTAACGCACTTGAAGGAAGAAGTGGCTAGTCTTTAAAACAGCAGCATAAAAACCTGCTCTGTGTTCCTCTGCGAGTCTGTCGGGCTTGCATGCACCCGACATCTCTGTCAGCAGACCTACCATTTTTGTACATGGTGTTCAGTCCAGCCATCGGTATATGTTCCAGCGATTCTGAGGGAAGAATATGGATGACTGCGTTAATAAGTTACATTTCGTCAAACTTGTATATATGTGGTGAGAGCTGTCTGCTAGGCAAAATCGGTAGACAGCAATTCGCGTCAATGTTTACTTCCCAAATCTTGGCCATGGGAAAAACAAGAGCAGAGACTTTGCGTGGGCGGATAAGATCCACATATATGTGGTCTGACCTTCCAAGAAAAAGCAACAAAGAGATGAAATTCCAGTGATAAAACGACCAGTCAGAAGACGCTGTTTCTCTACTAACAATAATCTATAATAATGTACATAAAAATCTATAAATATCTGTTGATTTTCTCAATAAACGATCTGTTGCCTGGCCCTTGTCTTCTGTCGTTACATATATATACATATATATAAATAGTGTGGCGAATGATTTTTCAGACAGACAGCAGTTCATCAGGCATATACCTTTCACGTTATCTGGATTTACACTTTGTGCGTTGAGAAGTCGCTCTTCGTCTTCCATCGCCACTTCCACAAAGTGCGACAATTTCACCCAGGAAATGGAACTGTCATGTAGGCTTGGGGACTTAGAGTGGTACACTAGCTGCATTTTGGTGAAATACTTCATTTCGCTGGTGAGTTGTAGGGGTTGAGCAGAAACGTGGGACCAGAATATTCCAGCTCATGTCTTATCTCTATACTCAACACAACCTTACAACTCTATGTCTCACGACATCTTCCTCTGTAAAGTCTGCAGAATAGAAATAGTCAACTTCCTTCTATCTGGCACTTGAGCCTACCTGAATGGTAAGGAATCTTATATAAATATGAAAGCAGTACACTGATGGGAGACCACCAACCATCACTGTGTTGCAAGGAATAATTCTTCTACTTCCGTCACTTCGTACTTTCACAAGAGGGAGGTCTGGGAACTTAAGTTGTTTAACAATTATCCTCACCGAGTGTATAAAACGGTAGCCGAGCCCGGGTTGGATGACATTGTGAGCCTGGTGAAAGACAGTGTTAAACAAGCTTTGAGCAAGTTTGCTAGTATACTGTATCCCACCCCTGGAATAGAGAAATCAGAGAGCGAAACGCGATCATTTATGACGAAACGGTCTCAGAGAAGTGGATATCGAGAAGGCTTTATGGTGTCTAGTAATCCATACAAACTGAATGGGTGTGACAGCTTAAGTGGGACGACCCCAACGGATAAGTTACAAGATGCAAGACAAACACGGTTGTGCTTCGTCCGTTTGCAAGAAGTGCGTACAAAAGCGAACTGTGAAGCAGTGAGCAAGTTTAGTGGTAAGCTAAATGTGAAGTCAGCGTCATCAAGCTCTGACTCCGAATCGTGTGACAATAATGGTGCGGTGAAGAAGCCTGTAGTTGCAAATAGTAAGCCATTGTTGAATAGATTGTCACGGACGACACCACGGTTTGTGCAGAAGAAGGGAGTTACAGTTTCAGAGTCCACTTCTGACTCCACAAGTTTACAAGGTATTACTTGTCAGAGTAAAGGTATGAAACCTTTAAAGATTTATGAGGAAGACCTCAAATCATCTACTGCTGTTATTAAAGAGGTTGAAAATGATGAATTGGATCATACAAACGGCGGTAAAGTGGATATTTGTGACAATGGTCATGATAGTGCACATTTGTCTTTGGCTGATCATGATGAGATGAGCGGAATGCCAACTACTACTGAGTTGAATAAAGGTTCTGTACAACTTGAACGTGAAGTAAAATTAAAGCCAGATGCGGTTGCGGAAATTATGGATACTCATGAGACCGTCAGTGTAAATGATCCGAGTGTAACCCAACTATCGACAGATGTTAAGGCTGAACTGGAGCTAATAATAAAAGATAGCAGTGGTGGTAATCTTGAGGTTAGACAACTTTCTAAAGGTCGAACAACAACAGCTTCTGATACACCACTAAGTTCATCAGCTGGTGCCAGTCAGTCGTCGTTGGTGTTGTCATATGCAGTAAAAGAGCCGTCCATGAACCCACGTGTCTTATGCAGTGATTATGCTGGTGTCAGTCCGTTCGAAGGGAAGAAAGTCAATGGCCAGTTTAGTGACGATAAGCCGACTGTGTACAAGAAAGTAATTGTTACACTGACTTGCACGAATAAAGGCATTTCAAGTTTCACACTACTATTTGAATGTTATTATCTTTGGTGCTAATTGCTCTGTGCCTTCGCTTGGTTGGTCAGATACGTCGTATGTTTGTTAATCATCTACATTCAACGATACAGTGTCATGGGCGTTTTACCATTCAGAGTTGAGGATATAGATGATGGAAGGAGGTCAGCAAATGAACTCAACGACGATTTTCCAAATTAAGGGCGTCAACCTGAGAAGGGTGGTAGGCGTACTGCTGCAAATCCTACAATTCTTCAAGGGTAGTACGTCGAAGAGCAGTCCATCGTACTTGGTGTGTTATTTTTTACATATGTTCATGTTGTACATACTGAATTGGTATCATCTCTCATCTATCTGTTGGTTAATTTTGTTTGAGTCCGGACGTCTTCCACTTGGATCGTCAGCCTGAGAAGGAATGTAGGCGTTCTGCTGTAAGTCCTACAGTTCTTCAAGAGTAGCTCGTCAAGGCAGAATCCACAACATTTGACGTACTGATTGCACACATGTTTGTGTTAAGTAATTGAGTGGGTTCCGATTCATCTGACTGTTGGTTAATTTTATAGTTGTCACACTGTATGAATCATCTTGTAATGTTATTGTTACTACTTATGAAGTCGCTTCTAGTCTCCTAACTTGTGAACGAATCGAGTAGTGTTAGAGTCAGTGTATGCGATTTGATACGCCGGGGAGAGGATTGTGCCAGAGTGATATGAAGCAACCAACGCTTCGTGAACCAGACCAGTGGTGGAACTGTCGACAGAGAGATCCCACGTGCCGGGGAGAGCGTGTCTGTGTGCTGTGGTACGCTTGTTGTGAGTTGGCCTATTTTGTCTTGCCTTTCCATTTTGGCCTAGTCCCGGTTGGCCCAGGTTCACGCGCTGGTAGTTCAGTTCAAGGTTATTGCCGCTGTGGAAAAAAGGGATGTACTCTCTTTTGCCAGGGAGTGTCAAGGAATATGAACACTGAACATTGGTTCATTGACTTTGGTCACCATTGGCGGGCAACTCGAAGGCACGAATGGTTCGATCGTGTGCAAGTTCGATGAAGACGGAAGAATACGAATAAAAGTACTTTATAATTTTGTTAAAACATTTGTTTATAGACTTGTATTACTCTTTGCTTTAATTGCCAAACAATATAACTTCGTTCAAAGAATACTGGTGTTTTGGGGTTAAAGTCGAGAAAATACATGGTCATTATTGGTTCAAAGCGTCTTCGTTACAATGGGAACTTAGGGCTAAGTTCCTTGACAGTGCATGTAGGCTACCCGTTCCACTCCTTAACTTTTGCATCTTGTTTGCTAATCCCGAAATAGCTGATAATACTGCTGCGCCCTCAGTAGACGCGACCTGAACTGGTAACTCATCACTTTTTGAAATATTGCAGACTCTGGTATCGTACAATACGCCTAGCATGTCATCTGTAAGCTCCCTTAATTCATCTAGGTCGATTGACTTTTGGGGATAGTCAAACACACCTGTCGTAGAATCACTTTGTCAACCTTACGTGAGTTAATCGATTGACTCATGTTCATGGGGAGCTGAGACAGTGTCCTTGAGTCTAAATGACATGCCTTGAGTAATTGCTACGTCCTCCTATCGCCTGAGACACTTATTCTCTGTATCAAAACTGCTTTGAGTAACTCGTATTTTGGTCTGCAGGAGCACTGTCAATTACGTCAGTAATGTCTTTAAGTACATCTGCAGGCAGTGCAACTAAGACGCATCCATACTTAGCAATCTGTGACTTAATCCCTTGTGCAGCGAAGAGGGGCCTGATGATAGCGAACCAATTCCTAAGCTCATTAAAACCAAATGAAGGCATACGCATACTGGCTATTGCGTTTATTCCAGAGTTTTGTGTTCCCTCAATAGTTTCAGAGGCAGCAAGCGAACGGGTGGGTTATGACATGATAAATATATAGATATACAGATTGGCAGATACGTATATGTATGATATGCAGTGAGAAATAACAATGATAACAGTATGAAGATGCGGTTCATAAATTTGTAAATGCTTAAGCCAGGCCAGCAATTAATTTATAGGGGACTCAATAGCGGGCTAATATTGTTCCAGAGTCCACAGATCAACCCTAGGTTCATTTCAACTTCAGCGATCAGTTTGTTTACCTCTAATGATTTGGATCAGATAACTTCAGGATAGCATCAGACAGCGTCAAGAACAACTGTTATAGAAAGAATTAATAGCTTGTTGGCTGCGTAGTGCACGGTAGTTTATGAAATCTAGCGCGTCCCTCCTTTACGTCTTTTTGATTGTCGGAGAGACGTTTATACGCAAAACATTCCATAGGTAAGAGACCTGTACTATTACTATTATGTAGACATCTGGTTTTGAAACAAAAGTAAAAAGTCCATATCCGCGACAGGAACAAATATTTCCCATGAAGAAAGTTCATCTTAGCGAAAATTAATGAAACTTAAGGAAAGTCAAACACACACATACATGGATTTACATTTTAAGAAGTCTTTACACAACGAATTATTGGATACAGTAACTAGTTTCTGTACCAAATGTGATAGTCAAGAAGAATTGGACGTCTACACAAAACGGAACAATGGTGAGTGTTAACCATGTTCTCTAAGGATGAAGACCATGTGTAGAGAGTGTGCTGTAGATTATTGTCACCATGAAACCTCTTAATTATTTCGGTGTAGAGTATTTTCTTCACAAACATTCGCCAGTGATTTTCAAGTATTTCCGTCTCTTCTTTAACTAATTTGTAACTGGATTCTTGTGAAATGATCAAGCTATCAAAACTAACCACACTGGGTTGTTGAAAAATATTTATATACTTATATGGAGTCAATAAAACGAAGTGTTCTTTTCCCCTCATTGTCTTTAGGGAAACCTAACAATTCAAAAACTCGCGGGATGGAATTACCCATCTTATTGTGGGCGAGAAAAAATAAAACTTTGATGCCCGACACTTTGCGAAACGATTAAAGGCCTGATCTATATTCTCTTTTTTCGTTCACCAGGTCGGAACATCTCAGGGAAAAGCAAGAGACATCAAGATTGTTCCTGGAATTGTGAACTGTAAAGTACTAGTTCTCGCACCGACTCATCATCTGTTATAACCAGTGTCAGCAAGTGGTGTATTAGACATAAGGCTTCTTCGGGAATGAAACTGACATGGATAGACACCTACCGGAAAAGGATCAACAGAGGCTCAGGGCATTCGATCGCAAAGCAAAAATAAAAATCTGAGTTGACCACCTTGACAATCTAGAGAAGCTGACTTATTAAACATTAGTGGGAAACCTCACAATACTGAAAATGTTTGAGCTTACTTCTGATGTTTTCCTTTACTATTCTGATAACTTTATTGTGTATAATAGGTCTTCTGAATGATGGCGCGCCATTTTTGTGAGCTATCGTTACGCATGACTGAGAGGGGTGAGGTCTTTTGGGGTTTTAACCTCTTGTGATTTTAGTATATGATCACTAAAGCCAGAAAGCAAGAATTAATTTAGCACATTTGTATCCCACTAGTTCATCGTTCACACATACACTTTAATATGATACTTCTCTGAAATACACTAGTTTATTTCATATTCTGGTATTCGAGAAGACTAGCCTTATTTGGCTATACTATTTCTAGTTTTGGGCAAAAAATAACCGTATAGAATGCGAACTATATAGCTGTGTTGGAAATAATGAAGAATAGATATCTCGAGTATCTATATTAACCCAAGCTTACCATAATGCTAAATTAAATCTCACTAATTCTGAAATAATTCTCACGTTCTATAGTGAGTAACTTCTGAATCTGTTGTGAAATGAATTCTTTAATGGCACAGACTAGAACTCAGTGCTGGTTTTCAGCATGACTGGCACTAATTCAGCACCGTGTTCTTTTTCTAGGCATTCTCAGGAGTAGATCAGAACCTACTGGGTTTGCTTATCAGCGTTGTTTCAGCCCTCACAGGACATATTAAGCGCGGACTAGCGTTACTTCAGAACGAAAAGACTTAATTCAGCACCCAGCTCTTTTTAAGCACGACCAGCGTTATTTCAGAACATAGTGTGAAGATAAAATCTTCATTTACCATAAAAAGGCATTATCGAAGAATAGGTTAGAATAAGTTTAGGATTGTTGTAAGCTTGGGTATTTATACATCCAAGTATATACATACTCAAAAACACTTCTCTGACTGATCATATCGCTTACATTTGAATGTAAATTAATGTGTAGAAACTGGTTTGGTAAATCAAATGACGTCTTCTGTGGGGGATTGAGACAGGTTTTCTGCAAAAATAGTCAATATGCTCATCACCCAACCTCGCAGTTGTGTGGATTGAAAAAACAATAGTCGCCCAACATTCACATGCGAATTTTGTCAGTGTGATTTTTAACAATTTTCCTCTCATCATTATTACAGGCAACTTGGAAAGGGATGTGCAAACCTATAAGTTAAAATAAATGTGCATTTACTCAAGAAATTTAACCAATCAAGCTGTTTACTTATGTTCATGTAAAATACTATGTATAAGCTAAGAATCCAGATGGTTAAGGTTTATGTCAGTTTCTGACGAATATAGCCGCCCTTTGTCCAATTATAAACATGAAGTCTTCGGACTAAATTTAAAGAAGAGGATTCGAATTATGATAAAGTGAATTTATTGGATTGAACAATAAGTTACACCTATTATATCAACTTTATGTATAATTCGGTATGTGAAACAGAAATGAGTCCTGTCACCCATGTTTGAAAACCGAGTTGCGAAAGCTTTTACCCACAGAGTAGAGTGATTTTTCCAGTTCAAATTTCGTGGATATATTTTGAGGTAGATATGGGATAGGATAATGCATAACCGAAGATAGAAAAGGTTTAGTTACAGGAAGCAAACATATCTCACTCAAGTTTTCTGATGTCTAGAAAAAAACCCATCATTCTGGATAGCCGTATATTCAACCTTTTTCGGCCTTAGGGACAAACAAGACATAGTAGTATAAAAGTGATTTAAATTCGATTAAATCCCGTGACTCCTTGTCAGATACAAATCGGTATAGACCATTGCATAGAAACAGGTCAGCTGAATTTGCTACACTTCACAACAGCATAGACACAAGGAGTAAAAGCAAAATGATTATAAATTGGAAAAGTGGTACAAGAAAAGAAGGAACAGCAGAATAAGAGTTGGTGGAAATTTCGAAGATTTGAAAGTTAATGTAAAGTGAATGCGTGTTTCACCTCGATCAGTTCCCAATTATTATCAATATCCAATCTCCTTTGGTATCTTTGTTAACTTAACAGTGTAATTTATGATTCCACACATGTATCAAACTCACATCCACAGACTTTGTGGGTGTCATACGTTATTTTAAACATCAACTAACCGACTTTTATTTTGCTTAACATTGCTGCTCGATGAAATGTGCTATGCAGTAGAGGTAACACATCTCAGTTACCATAGCCGATGAAAATTCACACTTTAGCTCCTGAATGATTTCAAATACCATATTTTAGATATTGTATTGGAACTGATTTCACTCGGTTTAATCAGTCGACTTTAAACTGATAGGTTCTGGGTTGGAATCTCTCTTCCTACTTCAATCTGAACCAGTGCGTGGTATAATTATCCTTCACATTGTTTCAAAGTTAAAAAGCGGATAACTAAGTTCTAAATAATTATGTCTTTCACAAGTCTGTGCTTTGTATCACTATCCTTGTACTAAAAGAAGCAGTCGTTTTTACTAGATATCTTATTGTTTAAAAGGTTGCATTGGGTTGTGCTTAGCTTGGAAGCTTGTATGGAGGTCTCCGATCTTCACTGGTTACTTATACAACTCTTTTATTCCTAACGAAATTTAAGTGTCCAATAAAGCAGATTCACATCGTGGCCTGTGCATCACTCTTTGTCAAAATCCTAGAACATTTACGTACCAGTCAATTGAAGTTGTTGCACACTCATTTTCACTGCTCAGCTTCATGTCCGTAGAAAGATTATGGACATCCTTTAATACGAACTCTAGCATGCAGTATTTTAACTCTAAGAAAAAGATATCTCTTTGCAGTATCCGTGTATCTTATGGTTTTTGTCGAAGTCATTCTTGAGAGTATTTCGTTTTTCTTTTTTATGAAACGAACTAATTAAGAGAATAAATTAATTCAGCATGTAATTATAATCTTGATGTCGTGAAACGACTGTAGTGTGTACTGTCTATTCATAGTTATCCAACATATAAAGTGTGCGAAGTGAGGGCAGTACAAAAGAAAATCTGCAAAACATTTAATTGTAACATAAATTCATGGGATTACTAAATATTGGAGTAACACGTTTAGGCAGTCTGTTGTCGTTTATCAACACAAAATAGATATCAATGTCACCTGCACAATTGCTTTTTTTAGATTGATATATCCTACTTATCCCATAGTTCATCTTAGGAAATGCTAATTAGTTATTTGATCGTGTTTCTCTTGTTTGTTTTATTTTACTGCTGTTGTCAGTTTTATTATGTTGCAGATTTTGAAGTATGATAACTGAGAATAACACAACCCTGTATCTAGATTTTTTTTAATGATGGCACGTCTAGAGCCACTGCTATTTGCATTCAATTAATCCTATCACTATCTTTACTCACCAGGTATTCGAAATCTGAGAAATGTGCCAAATAATTGAACTCCCCGAAGATGGCCCTGTGTGTCCTCACGGTATCATGTTGAAAATAGTTAACAAGAGTTCTGAATCATTTCACTATGCTTGTTCAGCATTCCGTGGCAAGGACGAATGCAAAAGACAAGAGCTATATCGAAAAAATACTTTGAACAATTGGTCAGTGGAGGATATTCTTAGTAGCGTCCAATCAAACAGAGCCTATTGTTCCACTTGTGATTGTCTATTTTCAATGGTAACTGAAAGAAAAAAGCATAAGATGCATGAATATAGAGGAGATCTGTCAGATAATTTATTAACCATGCCATCATATTTATTAAAGCCTCTAGGAGACTCTAAAGCTCATGCGGTACGTATGATTTTCTACGTTCTAATTAATTATACTTACAGCAATACTTTTTCTCTTTAAATTGTTTAAATCAACTATATTCAATTATAAACAATCTATCAGTGAATTATGTTGTTTGTATTGGATCACCCCGTCTTCATGACTTCATTCAACTTCAGCTTGCACACAGAGGACAGTTGACAAACTCTTATTTGTTGGACATTGATTTTCGACTGGTCTGTTGTTAACTTCTGATTTTAATTTTCTAAATTTGAAAATTTTAGACTAACTTTTATCGTTCACATAACTTTTCACAATACAACATGGTAAATGGATTTTTCTTCAGTCAACAAGACAAAGAGAATTTTTATAATTTTATCAAGGAAAATGTGAAGTCTATGCACAAATGTTTGATATTTTGTGATCCTCCGTTCGCCGCACCATTGTCATTAATCATAAAACAGATCGAAGTATTACAAAATTCAGTTATAAGGTGCATTAATCAAAATATTGGGGGTAACTACATAATGTACGAGATTACTGTGATTTTCGTCAGTTTCCAAGGTCAAAAAGAGTGAAGATAGCAATACGAACGATGAGAACACTTATGCGTATTTGATGGCCCTCCCATACTTTTTTGAGAAGAAGTTACAGAAAATTGCACCGTTTATAAATTTGTTGGACTATAAAGTAATCAGTATTTTTTGTTACTTACTTTAGACTACGATTGTTTATTAAGATGACGTATGAGAATCATTCAAGATTGGATTGTGATAGCAATAATCCTGATATTAGTCGAAGTAATACAATCAACAATGATAACCAGGCAAATAGAGGAAAAAGACGAGATTCAATTGTTCGTCTGTTTACAAATCTCTCACCTTCATTAGTTCATCCACCTAAATCACTGGAGGCATCATTCAGGTATTCATTTATTTACTGCATATAATTTCCAAGCGAATTTTCTGTTATTCATTATTTAATATTCATAATAAATCGAGTACATGAACAAAGAAGTACATTATTACTGCATGTATTCAGCTAAATAAGAAATAACAAAAAGAGATGTTTATGAGGATTAAATAGAATCACAATGATAGTGTTCAGTTCATGTGGAGGAATGGGCATGCAAATTTGCAACTTCTGAAGAAAGTTCAGTCTATATCACCCAAGTTCTGTGTGGATTAGTTTATCCACATTGTTCTTGTGCTACAGAAATAACGTCATGTATTTTGTTGCTCTCACCTCTGACATGTTTAAGGTGTTTAGATTGGACTATCAATAATGGAATAAGTACCAACGCACTGTCAAAGTGAAAACCTCTTGGCCGGGTATTAAAATGGACATTTGGTGAATTGACTTCATAAGACGGTGAATATTAAATAAACAAAATTAAGGTTATAAATAATTATTTTAGTTATCTATATTTAAGATATCAAAATGTAAAATTTTCAGAAACGAAAATGTAATTAGGAAATGAAGGCATTTCTGACCACATAATTTTGCTACCGAGTTAGGCGGAGATTGATTACCAACATATAAATGTTTTTTACTTGTTAATGAGACGACGTATACAAAGCCGTAAAATTGAACTATGTTGTTTTATAATCGTCCTGAATACATATCTGATGTTGATTTTGTGGTCAGCTCCGATCAGATGTTGTGTTACTGAACTGCTTACACCAGTGGTTTAATAGCTGATATACATCCAAACGTGAAATTTTTTAAATTTGGTTAAAAGTTATATTCTGTGGGTACACTTCACCACGGAGTCTCGTAACGGGATAAAAGCGTCATCTATTCCCGTTTGTTTTCTAATAAGTATTCGTTTAATATTGAGAAACTTAATATGGAGTTCAAAAATCTATTTTTACCCCGTAGGTTTTGTGAAATTTGCCAGCGTTATTCACACATCACGAATGTACACTGTCTCAAGTGCAATCGTTGTACAACTAAGGTGAGTTATCTTTTTCAAGTTCTTTCTCATCCACTATTCTAACAAATGATAACTGAATGTTATTTTAACTTGCTATGCAGTAGTACTAAAATATAATCTTTACTGGTCTTATAATACTGGTAACTTTTATGAAATTCGACTTGGAGGATTCCTGTTTCCACTCTAAATTACTGGTAACTTTATCTTACTTCTCATTCACTACAACATATGGACTAGGAGTTAACTCAACAAGACGTCGTAGCCGTGACCTCATTAAGAGTTGCGAAGTCTGTGGGTATGATAATAGGACAATTCAGTTACTCCTGGGATTTTATACACTCGGCTGTCAGCCACACATAATGTGTAAAGGTTTATGATACAGTTGTGATTATCCAGGCCGAAGTAGATGATTCAGAGGTTTAACTCGTGCCTCAATATTTGGAAGTGACTTGTTTGTACTATGAGCCTTTGAAAACCAGTTCTTACCAGTGCACATGTTTTCACACCAATGTTCGTCCTATACTGTTGCTTATTCTGTTGTTCTGTCACTTGGTATTATCTCCAAGTATATGGTGGTCCATATGACCATGGGTGCTATCATATTACGGTAGTCAGGTTTTCTTTTCATATTGACTTACATAAGCTGACAGAACTGTCGAAACTCATATTCGTTGAGGTTTCAGAATGATGAATAAGAGTGAAATAAGAGGAGAAAGCACTTGCTTCCCATAAGTTTTTTATCAGTGTAAGATGAATTTTATATTGGCCACTGTTGCGAGCTTTAAAAATAGTAATCCGTTCTCTATGAATAGTTGTTATTTCTAGTACTGCTAAATTTCCATATTCAAAGGAAGTGATTAGAATGTTTGGCTCTTAAATAGCCTAGCTCGTTATTGCAAGGAGTCTTTGTGCTGGCAATACGGCGTTTTATTTAATTAATTAAGCCTATAAAGAAGTCTGATATATATATATATATATATATATATATATATTAAGAGGTTGATATTAGATTAACCAGGTGTTTCTTGGTTGTGCTATCAAAAGTTTTCACGTTACGTGGATGCATATCTCTGTTTCATTAATATCACTAAATTTGTTGATGCATTATAGCATTTATATTTAGTACCGTTGTTTTTTGTTTCACTACAGAATGGACCAACTTATGTACACTGTGATAAATGCGGTCGCTGTAGATCTTCAAAGAAATTCCACTGTAATTATTGTGAACGATGTGTGTCTGTAGATCAATGTGTTCATCAGTCGAAGCGTCCAAAACTCCTCAAATAACTCTATCAAATTGTAAATTCATTTCTAAAAAAAGATGTAGATTCAATATATTTCTTACTCTCTTATAGTTTGTTTTGTTTTCGAAACAGCTGTCTTGTTTGACTTTGGCGGTCATGTTTGCTTTTCTTAATGATATCGAAATCGTTAGATGAATTGATCTGAGCTATTTAAGTTCAATAAGAATTCACTATCCGGGATTTATTTATTTATTTAGCTTAATTTTGTATGAAATGTTTATTTAATGTAACACATTTATATATTATTAGTAACTAGGTGATGTTTTGAGTGCAGTTTATTGCTTATAATCATATCGATACACCCGCATGTCCTCCTTCTACAGTTTTTTTTTCGATTTTGCGTCATTTCTATTTCATGTGTTGGTGGTCATTTCAATGAACACACATTCAATGATTAATCTGCCTTACACTAATGATATCTTTTTTTCTGACAATCGTCAACAGTGGCCAGTAGTAAAAGTGACTAAAATAATCAAAATTAATTATTAATTTCGTTTTATTCTCCTATCAGTTTTCGACGAATCTAGGTTGGCACAAACATGTATTAGGCTATTGACCATGTGTACCTTAGAAATATTACTTATCTATCGAAACTTTTGCAGATATGGCGGATATATGACGTGGCTTTTAAATGCTATCTGGGGTGTTTCTATGGCTCTCACTTTTGTTTGTGGACGCAGAGTGAAGTGAAGATGACTCACTAGCCTGCAGAATAGTGCTAACTGTAGTAGAGAAGCAAGATGAGGAAGGTGATGTGAGTAAGGGAGAGTGATGCTCAGGAAGGCTTCGTGTGCTTTTGGAAGTGTGTGGGCGGTTGTTACTTCCCGGCTGCCCACACCATGGAAGTTGATTGATTCTTCGGGAACCTGAAACAGAAAGAGTGCTGCGTGACCGCAGAGCCCAGGTGACAACTGCTTGAGGCCGGTCACACGCGGCCTGTTTTTGTTTGTTCTTTTTTGTTTGGTGTGTCTCAGTAGCATATTTATCACTTCTGCCCTGTGACACGGCAGCAGGAAGCGCGGTCGTTGTTAATCCGGGCCCCGACCGATCCGGCATGATATTTTGTGAATTTGTTTGAATCATAGCATTGGATTGGGTAGCTGCTTTTTGTCTAAGCGCTATCCAAACAACCTTTCTGGCATGGTAGGACCTCAAGCGACAGTATAGTATAGCTTGTAGGGTCATTGCGGTGTTCAAGCCCGACCACCACATCAAGGTAGCAGCTTTCAGTCGGGATATCTCACGCATTATCTAGTGGTCAAACATTGAGTCCAGAAAACTAATGCGTGACTGCTGCATTGTAACACTGCTGTTGCTAGTACGCACATTTAGGCACTAGAGCTCAGTTTGAAAGTGTGTGCTCAACTTGCATTGGGTGCACTTAGATTATAGACATGGAAATGTTAGTGTTGTGTTCACTAGTGACAATTTAGAAAGTTTTCTTTTTGTTCCCCTTAGAAGACCTCGTTTAAGGTCGAATGTGTTTCCTTCTCCTCATTGGTTTATTTCTCTATTTAAAATGTCCTAAATACTACCTTGCCAGTGTTAGGCATATGTTACAATGTTGATGTTCATACATAAATGTTTGAACAAACAGTTTCTTCCACATTTCCTCGTTATAATCGAGTAGCAGTATGACTACCCAAACTTTGGTTGGTCAAAAAATATCATCCCAGTCACTTAACTGCATTTTTCCCATGGAATTTCAGTAATTAGCCTGGATTTTAGGTAAACAACTTTATCTCAGTGTTCTATTTAGCTTGGCATACTTGCGATGACTCTGTATAGTGGACTTTTCGATACAATAGCATATTTTCTTTTTATGCTGATGGCAAAGCTTGGTAAATCAATGATTGATAACTCCTTTTAGGGGATTGTTAACTGTGTAAAAATGTACCTTGTTGGCTGAAATATTATCTATTCAACTGGTGACCTACGATCGTTTGCACTGCTACGTAATATCACTAATCCTCAAGTAATAGATGTGGCTCGTATCCTAATACTCAGATTTGTATATGATAACTAATTCGTTGAATTAAATTAAGAGACATAAGTGTTGAAGATATTCGGAAGCCTTGTTAAATAAGTTATAATGCAGTACACCATACGTGCATGTAGACGTAACACCTAAAGTGTCATCAGATTGCATGATTTTACAACACTATAATAATAATAATCACTTCTCTTAGTTTCAGGCCATGTCACCTGTTTTTTATACTTTAAATGAACTGCTGTCCAGGAACATAGTTTCTTCCAGACTCACTGAGCACTTTTTTCGGCTTATTGTCTATTTAATACATAAACGATCCTTTGGTTCTTCATGTTACTCATTAAAGTGCATCATGCAGTTGATATCATTTATAAGTATGTAGTAAATTCATATTTTGGTTGTTTTCAGATTTATTTCACATGAAGTCACTAGAACCTTTTGGATTCACTAAGTGCTCAAAAACTTTAACTGATACTGGACAATTATGAAATGTGGATGAATGTCTTAAAACTACAGCTGAAAGGTAATTTTCATTTTTGGAATTTACTATGCATTCGGTGGTGTGTTGGTTCGAATCATACAGTCACTCATGTTTTAGTTTCAACTTCAATCATCTCTTTCATATCATTGGTCAGACTATTCATTCTCATATAATTAATTATTAGAATAACATGAATCCTAGTAGTGAAGGTAAACTTCTTGACTTTGTACACCGAGTTAACAAAGTTGGGAAATTTCTCTTCCTCATGGAAGTGAAAGGGTGAATGTGAAAGTCTGGCGCTTACAACCAGACTGATGGACACATTGGTCTATCTAGGGGAGCGAGAAAACCCTGATTCTATGCATATGGTGTACATGAGCTCTAGAATCCGAAAGGATCGAATGGAGAATAAACTTGTCACCGTCATCGGAAACCATGAAAACACAGACTACTACTACTGGTCCACTTCCAGACTTCAAGTCAAAGGCTCAGAAGAGGTGGTGGGTCAAGAAAACCACCTGCTTCAATCTGGACGCCCAGACAGTATCCCCGTCCTCACACAAACTATGAGATTTTGTGTGGCATATTTGTCGGTGCCCCTAATGTAACAAGTTTGTGTTTTAATAATAATAATAATAACTCTGTGTACAAAGTATTATGAGTAGGTCAGAATAGTGTATTAAACTGCAGTTTTTATCTATTCTTTCAGGTCTCTATTATATTCATTCGGCCAATCGCATCGCTTTCAAGAAATAATCAGCTGATTGGATATTTTCTTTCTACACTAATTACTTTCACACTCTATGCAGCTTCCAATGACCGTGGTGTTTAATGGTCACCTCTGTCAATTTTTGAATTCCCACTGATCTTTACGAATGTTATTTTTAATGAGGATAAAATTACTCAGTCTTCCTTATTATTTTTCTATATGTTTTATTATCATATTATTAATTTTCTACTTTTATTTAACTTCATTCTATCATGTGATTATTCCAAAGGAAAAGAGTAACAAGCATTTTCTTGACACTACTTATTATCAATTGCCTTCTTATGCCAACAAACATTGTACATATTCTACATGTTTTAATGTAAATAATTGTGTTCATGAACTTGTTAACAAGCCATTACATACAATTAGAGTTTATATGTATCCTTTATTAAAACAATTCAATCATACTTCACTTCCGATAGTCTTTAGTCAACAATTTCTCTCATTGCATAATGCTATTCTATCTAGTCAGTATTATGTGAATCGAATTGAAGATGCGTGTATTCTTGTGCCTGGAATGGATTTCTTATATATTCATGATCAAAATCATCAAGGCATTGATCTATCCCTGCGTTATTTAAATCATTTGCCAAGGTTTGTTTAAATTGTTGTTTGTTTTTTTTCATTTAGTAATTATATCTTTTAAGATGGAATGATGGCAGGAATCATTTGATAGTGAATTTCTTATCCAATGAAAAGTTGATGTATTCAGCTTCAGCTATCGTCGCCAGTGCTAGTCATACAAGTCGTACATACAGGCCAAAATTTGATATTGTCCTACCAGCATTTAATCCATATACAACTGTTGTAGATAACAGTATTAATAAAAGGTAATCATACAGATTTTTATTTAAAAATTTTTATTAGTTATCTGTATTGTGAATGATATTTCATTGTTAAATAACTTTTATAATTTTTGATGACACGATAAGTCAATTGAAAGATTCAGTATCTGTTGTAAACTCGTCGATGTAATTCATAGAGGAAACTTCTGACTGCTTCTAAGATTATTAGTTCTAGGAAATTCATTACTCTGTATCTGATTGTTTGGCGATTTTAAAATAGACGTAAAAAGCTGTTGAGCACTTCCAACTTCTAAATAAAAATCTTTTTAATCAATTAAATTGTCAGCAGCATCTTCCGGGGTTATCATATAGTTTCTCTAATTACTAAGCTAAATATGGCATCGAATCGTTTTCGTCCTTCTTGTTTATCGCTAAAATAATCTAATACGTCTGTTTTGTCATCAAGTGTGTAGTATTATAGACTAAGGGCAAAGTACTGTTACAAGATTGGCAGGAGCCTGTACCTCCACTCACTGTTGTTGGTGAACCGCTTAAAATTGTCGATGATTTCGTGTATCTGAGTAGTTGTGTGAGTACTGGCAGAGGTGTGGTGGACGAGATTTTCAAATGTACCATGAAAGCTATGGTGGCATATGTCAACTTGAGCCACCTCTGGCGCCGTTGCGACGTTAACATGGCTGTCAAACGTCGGGCTTGCGATGCTTCGGTGCGCGTTGTCATGTGCTACGCCTGCGAAACCTGGCCTCTCCGAGCTGAAGATGTGTGGCGACTCTTCGTATCGATCATCGCTGTTTCCGTAGGGTTGCTGGCATTCGATGGTACCATCGTGTGAGTGATTCTGAGGTCCAGCGACGTGTGTTTGGACACAGTGGAGACCACCGTTCGTTGAGTATCGTCATCTGGAAACACCGGCTTCGGTGGCTTGGACATGTGCTGCGAATGTCACCCCAGAGGCTTCCGTACAGGTGTCTGTTTGCTAGCCCTGGGAAGGGATGGAAAAGGCTAGAGAGGTGGTCAGCCCATGACGTGGCATCTTGGGATGAGGGATATTTGTGTTAGGTGAGCATCGGTTGGTGCGTCACGACTCCCTGATCGGAGTCCGAGAGGTAGCCCGAATCGATGGCTCGAAACGTTATCGGATATGGCCAAGAATCGTAATCAATGGCGAACGTGCTGCAATTTCCTTCTTTCTTCCCTTTCCGACGATAATTGATGAATGCTGTTCGAACTTGTTAAATATGTCTGTTTTTCTTCCAGATGAAGTACTTTATCCGTTCACTAACTATATTTTTTACTTTTAATCTATATTGTTTTATTATTATTGTGTGGCGCATCTTCTTGGTGCTATATTGTACCAAGTTTTTTGTGTTTAAATAATAATAAAATTATAAACTAACCTACATGATTTCTCTGAATGATTGAAATAAGTCCGGACGAAAAAGTTACTTTTTAACGATTAAAGTGGTTTTACATAATTTCTCATTCATTAGAGGTTTTTGATAGGATCTCTATGAATTCTGGTTTTACACTGAGTCTTGTGAATGAATAACAGTGTCATTCATATCGGTTAAACAGTTACATGTCAGTATTAATATAAGCCCAACTGATTTTGCTTGAAATGAGTTCCTTGTTTTTCACTTGTGAGATTTCGTTTATTAATATTTCTATTAACGGATCTTTCGTTGAGTTTTATTAACTAAGTTACCATGATTTCACTAGTTATCAGGTTGATGGATATTTTTCACACTTTAGTAGATGAACTCTACTGATTTTTCTTTGTACATTAGTTCCGTACACTAAGTCATAAGTTACTCTTAATGTATGGCCTCGTAATAATCTGAACTGATTCAAGCCGGCACAATAAATCCGAAGCCCTAGAACGTTTGTACCACAAGTTATGAAGTATTACTAAACCGAGATCTATTATATTCACTGTTAGTCGATTTTAAGATCAAAGATTTGTAGTACTACTTTTTCACCGAGCTTTATTTATTTATTAAAACGCAAAATTGTTACCTTATGGGCACCAAGAAATACGCCACATAAATCTCATAGTTCGTGTGAGAACTGGGATACTATCCGGGCTTCCAGATCGAAGCGGGTGGTTTTCTTGACCTACCACCTCTCTTGAGCCGTTAACTTGAAGTCTGATCCAAAGGGAAGTGGACCAGTAGTAGTAAGCTGTGTTCTCATGGTTTCCGGTGTAGGTAACAGGTTCATACGCCATTCGATTCTTTTGGATTGAGGAGCCCATGTACACTGCAGGTCTGGAATCAGGGTTTTCTCGCTCCACTAGATAGACCAATGTGTCCATCAGTTTGGTTGTAAGTGCCAGACTTTCACATTTGCTCTTTCATTTTTGTGAGGAACACCCCTACCGCGTGAAGTCAGTGAATAAGACTTACCTGCCAGAGGCTATGGACGCATGGCCACATGATAGGATTTGGAGATGAAGACCGAAGTCTATCCATCGTCACCTTTACCAGGTCATTTATGGGGATATAAAATATTTACTATCACTTATGTAAAGCAGGTTAAACTTGTCAACTGAAAGTAACTCATTTTCTCTGTATGATGATAGAATTTGATTTGATTCCTTTGAATGTAGAGTGGCAGTGACTTTTTCGTGAAAACAAGCTCTGTTTATCAATAGAATCGGTTGTTATTTGGTTCACTACGGAGTTTTTATCTGGTTTTTCAGAAACATTTTAATAGCGATATCTTATCATGTTTTCCTCTTCTTAGACGTACTATATTCTTGATAGTCTTCCCATCAACTGATCAAGATTCAATAAATCAATTGAAATACCTTTTATTAGATTCTCGAAATTCAGATTCCCTTTCTCCCCAGACTATAATCATCTTAGAATATTCTAATCAGTCAATCAGCCAAACATATGATAGACGTTTTGTATTAGTATCTGAATCTCAATATCGACATGGTGTGAAAAAGTGGATCAACTATTCAGAATCTTTGTGTTCCAGTGAATTTTGCCTGGTAATTGATGCAGACAATGCAAATCGTTTTAATTTATTCGACAGTATAGCATGTGGTTGTATTCCAGTGATTGTAAATGACGATATTGTTTTACCATTCTCTGAAGTTCTTGACTGGAATAAGTAAGTTTTTACATATTTTTCAGGTGCAGTTTTGTGTTTTTGAATCTTAATGACTAGTGACTCCAGTTTTCAGGTGTCTAAGTTATGATCATGGTTTCGAGTTCATTTTATTACGCCACTACTACTGCATAGGTAGAAAGTGGTTGAATACATTTGTTTCTGTATGAGTAACAATTTTATAAGGCACTTCTGCTACATTTTTGGTTACTCTTACTACTGTTACTGATTGTTATATATATACATATATATGACTTGAAAATTTCTTGGAGGACCTGAAAGAGAAAGTGTTAGTGTTGCGTGACCCCAGTGGCCAGAAGAAAACTGCTTGAAGCCAGTTAGACAGGACTTGCTTGAATTGACTTTTGAAGTTGCGTCCGTATTCAGATCTTACTGCCAGTTACAGACCGCTACAAGATAAGTCAGGATGTACAATTTTCAGGGTTGACCTTTTCTGACACCTCTCCAGAGCGGAGAAGTTGCATAGCTTGCATACTGGCCATCTGAGGGAAACACCTCACTGCTGTTACATCCCTATTTCTCAGCAGTATGACCTCGCTCACAGACGACCACCAACATCGTGTACACAATTTACTCTGTGACGACAACTCCTTCTAGTATAATCGATATCTAAATGATCCTTACGGCATGGTACGACCCCCAGAAACATTAGTTCTAGTCAGTGTAGCTCATTTGGCCATGCAAGCTGCTCAAGGTAGACACTGTCGGTTGCGATATATATATATATATATACATATATATGTATATATGAAGGGAAAAACTATTTTTATAATAGGAGAATCTTGTGGTAATTTGTTTCCAAACGTACAGTAATAAAACTTGACAATGGAATGAAACAAATCTGTGTTAGGCTTGTGCTTTATAGTACCTAATACTTAACGTGAAAAAGTATGATTAATACTATACCCTTGAGGTTTGAAATATTATTTGGAATAACGCAGAATTTGAACCATTTCTTTTCCCAATCTATTTTACTCCTCTATTCAGGATGGATATCGGAAAGGTAATGATAGCTCACTCTATTTAGTTACCTCTATCTTTCGGTTTACCACTACTGTTTCGAAGTTTTTATTGTGACATGTCCACTAACATTATTCGTGTATCACACTCACCTTTTGAATAACTATATGGATGAGTTAAATCTGCTTCAGTTTTTCAGAAGCTATTTATGCCAGCTAACTCTTCAAACAGTTACTTACTGATTAGCTTCCTATAAGCTAATCTGATGTATCGGTATCGTAACTGACTCATCACTTTCTATGGAATAGTGTTATATAAACATCATGTTTCACATCTGAGTAAATTGTGCCCACCTGAATACCAGTATTTTGAGTAAATTCGCCGTAGTCTCTGTGTTTGGTTAGATACTATGTTTGTTCTAACTTCCTGAACACATAAATAACACGATTTCTGTCAGAGGGACAGTGGGGAAGAGAGAGGGAGAGAGTGACGATATCTAAGGAGACCATTGTTTTATCTACAAGATTGACATTCTTAATAGAATCGACAAAATCAAATGTGTCCCGGAGATTCTATCTCGACTGCTTTTGTTTCATCGGATCAGAAATCTCTACCAGCCACCTCACCAATGAGTGATATGGAGAATTTATCATATCTAGTATTGAGCAAAGTGATGTCTTTTCTCTGTTGAACACAAAATAAAGCAGAAATGGATGGAGGATTTCATCATGAGCTGACATCAGTTAGAGAACCACTGGAAAACCTGAGAGTACTGGACAGCTGTTTCGTCCTAGTTTGGGACTCTTCATCAGTATGCACCCACCGGGGTTCCTCCATCCAATCGAACAAAATCCCTACCAAACCAATACTTGAAAATTAATCTGATGCTCACTAGCGACTGGCCCTATTCAGGCAGTGACCTGGAGTTCTAGTGGGAAGCCGTGACCAGTAGGGTGCAGCATGTTGAAGAGGAGGCAGTAACTCATCGAAGAAGACATTGCGAAACGGTAGCGCTATGTCGTGAATTGCCAGAAGTTAAAATTCATGGGCCCATTGGATTGGGTTCCAGTGGCTCAATGGTCTACGAGCTCGCTGGCCTTGTAACCAGAAGGTCCTGGGTTCGAACCCCGGTGGGTGCGTACTGTGAGGACGAAACAGCTATCCAGTACTCCCAGGTTTTCCAGTGGTTCTCTAACTGATGTCAGCCCATGATGAAATCTTCCATCCAATCAAACAAAATCCCTACAAAACCAATACTTGAAAAGCAGAAATGGTTTGCCACTGGCCTGACCAGCTACACAATTGCAAAATACAGATTCAGATAGGAAAGAAAGCGTTATTGGTTATAAAAGTTGTCAATAAACCTTGGTAAAAACCTTGTCAGTATTTTTGGCTAACTGTGACGTTAGTTATATTATTCCACTAGTTTATTATCTGGTTGCCATGTAATATTGTAACTTTTTATGAGGTGGATATTGAATTCAGTATGATAGTATGTTGATCTTTCCATTTCTCATTTGTAAATTATTTAGAATGGCTATACGAATTCCTAGAATTAAATTTCAAAAGATTCCATCTATACTCTCGACATATTCATCAAGAGAGATACTTCTTCTTCGGAAACAAATAATGTTTGCCTATGAACGTTATTTTTCATCGATAGAGAAAATCATGATCACTACACTAGATATACTAAATGATCGCGTCTTTCCTCAGTATTCACGATCTTATGCTGAATGGAATTATCCTGATTATTCTGCAGTGAGTATATTTTATTCAAACTTTTGTAGTGAATTTTGTTTTAAACACTGATAAAATAACGGTTCTTGTTTAGTGTATTCTGTAAATACTTTGTCACTTATGCTAGGCGTTGAATTAAGCTACTGCCTTGTATTGTGAATATTGATACGTAGACTACCTACGTGCTTATTATTTTTTACAAATTTGACCGCATATATTGCATTTGATTTTGCAGGAATGGTTGCCATTATATCTGTATAGAACACCAGGTGCTGAGTAAGCTATTCAATAGTACCAGTACCAAGGTAGAGCAAAGATGTTCTGGGCGATAGATAGTGTGGGGTAGATTTGTTGTCAGCTCACGTCAAAGTGTATGGTCTTATGCCACCAATTATGCCATAGTTTATGATGCTAGTTATTGCTTAGTGTGAGCTCTAAGAGAGAATAAATCAAAACAGGACATCGATTAGCAGAATTTTATGGAATGTTATTTTTATCTTAAGAACTATGAAGTTTGCAGTTGTGATACGTCAATCAGTGAAATTCGTTGTGTAGATCCGAAACTGATGAGTAGAACTAGAAGCACCTACACTAGTACATGAATTCTACTTTTAAGTAAAGATGTGGGACAGTAAGTCTAGCAACAACCACTCTATAGCAAACCCAAATGAACTTACTTCAGTTCGTAGGCTGCGGCTGGTCATAGGTTAGTCATTTTAAAACCTGTAGGAATAACGGGGTCGTATGTTATCTTTCCAACATGCACTCTGTTTTCTTCACATATTTCGGTTTATCAAGATCATTTTCTCAATGATTAAAAATCTCTGAAGTACTTTTTGATGACCGCATATCCTAATTGTTTAGGGTAGGGTAGAATGAACCACTTCTCAGTACACACATTTTTATAGCTATATGAATATTTCATTGGTGCTGTGCTCCTATTTAGGATTTTAATTAGGTCTTTTTTGGTAGATAATTCATTGTTTTATCATGGTGCTTTGATCATTGACGATAGGCATCTTACGTGCTGCTTCCTGTATTAAAATCTAGTCTGTGTGTGTAATTCTTGCCTGTCGTTTTACTTTTATCCAACTTCAAGTTTTAATAGTCAAGTATTGGTTTGTAGGGATTTGATTGATTGGTTACGGGATTTCATCATGAGCTGACATTGGTTAGAGAACTATTGGAAAACCTGGGAGTAGTGGATAGCTGTTTCGTCCTAGTTTGGGACTCTTTAGCAGTACACATCCACCAGAGTTCGAATCCAGGACCTTCTGGTTACAAGGCTAGCGAGCTGGTAGACCAATAAGCCACTGGGACTCGATCCAATGTCCTATGAATTCTAACTTCTGCGCGACCACTAGCCAGTGTCTTTGGCGAGTATCTGTCCTCACACCCGACCTGCTGTGCCCTACTGGTCACGGCTGCCTACTAGAATCCCAAATAACTACCTACCTGAGTAGGGCCAGTCGCTAGTGAGTATCAGTGATAGTAATTCACACTATTTGTCATATTTATATCCTACATTCATTTAATTCACTTTCACATATTTTAGTTTCTTTATTTTTATTAAATATTCTGCTTTTTAGAATGCATTTCCGATATCTCCAGTTCTATTTTATCCAGCTAAAGCTTTCCCACAGGCAGGATTCACTGCTCTTATTCGAGCTCATAGTCATTTCGCACTACTTAGTGTTTTGTTAAAATCAATACAGTATGTAAAATATTTACAACAAATTGTAGTTGTATGGACAAGTAAAGTGTATCCTGTTCCTGATAGTAAGTGTTCCTAACTAACTAGTCTTTTTTTGTTGATTTTACTTTTTTTTAAACACACCTTCTGTTAAATGAATGTATTTATCAGTTGACAAAAGGCTGGACAATGTGTCCATAATTACATAGTCAGAAGTCAAATTAGCTGCATAATGATATATATATATATATATATATATATATATATATATATATATATATATGTATACTAAAATGAATAGAAGCGTGTGTACTTCTGATTGATACCTTAAATATGCTCCGTTTTATTTAGAGATTAAGTGTTGACTGATGTAGCTTTCCAGCTATCTTATGTGTTTAATGACAAGTTTACACTTTAACTTATTTCAATTATCGGACTTATGTATGATTGACAATTTGTTAAGTTGATGCCTTATTATAACTGTGAGGTGAATCGATACATGATTATTCCTTTGAATATTCGTTATTGAATATGAACAAGTTGACTGACTGACTAACTGAGTTTCAACACAAAACTTTGGATAGAAGTGTAGCAGTTCAAGTTGCCACACTCCATGCAGTATATAGAGGAAGACAGAAGCGAGGAAAAGAGATTCAAAAGAACAATAATAAGGAGAAACATGAAGGAGAAAGAATGGCAAAATAAGAAAACAAAATGGTTTAATGGGTGTGGGAGATCACAAAGAGTGAGTACATCTCTGCCATTGAGAACGATTTTGAACCATATCTCCAGTAGTCCTCTAGCCATTGGTTCTTAGCATCCCGAGGACCCCAACCAGCAAGCCTACACTTCCCTACATGACTCATACCAACTATCAAAGACGTCATAGACTAATGTCAGGTTTCGGTTTAATCGCCTGATATCTACTCAGATACATCACATGTTTATGGTGAGACTAGATCAATGTTGTCTGGATATATCCTCTCACTTCAGGAATTGTCCTTATTGGTTGTCTTCACTCAAGCGGCGCCATTCTCTTTGGTACACTCACTTCTTACTTTCTTGTACGGATAAATATACTTTTCATCTCACGTCGTTGTGTTCTGGCTTAAGTAGAGCGGGCTGAGGGAAACAGGTAGTTGACGTATAATGTTGTTGGTGTAGTCGATCAGTGTCCGTGGTCAGCGCTTTTGAGTCCAGCATCGGCGTCCCTGTCGTATTTCAGTCTCAATTTTATCGCGCAATTCACATCTCTCAATCTATGTGAACAAGTTAAAATGGTGAAAAAAAAATCATTTTTCTTGCCAACCCATCACACTTCAACATTAATAAAGCATAGGTTTCCAACTCTTCACTTTGTTTATAATGAGATGATAACTATTTCTCTGAGGGAAAAACTATGTGTGAATGTAAAGAAGGACGCTGAAAACAAACTGTTGATTTTCTGTTGAGCCACTTTCAACTTTATTCGTGATAATATCTAGCAACGTTACCTTTTATTTCAATGCATTCTTATGATAGCATCTACGATATCTATATCCATTTAAGCCATAGAAATGGAATTAAATTTATACGGATAGTGTTCTAATTGAAATGAGTTGCCCAAATAGTTTTATAATGGGACATATGAACAAAATAGACAGGAACTTGAAACAAGTCACCTTGAAAAGGGTTTCCTGAAGCTCCAATTCATTGGGGACAATGGATAGCGATGTTCTATATCAAAGACTGTCCAGAATGATAAAAAGCGCTTATAATGATGCCTTTTCTCTCTGTCTCTCTCTTTGTTTACCATTTCCCAACCAACCGGTCATAAAGAAAAAAAAGTTATCTAGTTATGCTATTTCTACGTTCATTTATAAGTTTTTGTTCCTGTGAAGATAACCATATAGAGTGAATAAGTAGGTAACTTAAGAGACACATCGTTGAACACCTCCCTTCGTTGTTGAGAAACGTGCAACAGAATTAATACGAAGCACAAATTTGTCACTCTTGATTGATAGTGGACCCCAATGAAACAGAAAACCCCTTTTAAATTTACTTTTTGTATTCCATTGAGTCTTTTGATAGGGATTTGAACTCGTCTTTTGCACATAGTTGAGGCGTTATCCACTGAGATATTGAACCACCTCTTGTGTATCGACACCGAGCATTTTAATTCAATAAAATCATTTGATAGGAAATGCAAAATTATGGTTTTGACTAGCAAAAACTGATACTCATTGAACACGAGGTGGCCGCGTACATGATGCTCTGGTGTTTGGAACTATGGATTATAGGTTTGAGTCTCGGGAGAGCACTATCACTCACTAAAAACGCAGTTTCATTCACCTGACGAGTCCCAAATAGGATGAAACATGTGTCCGGAAGTATAATACTGTTAGCCAATATCAATTAAATGACATCATGTATTTGTTTCTGCTTGAAACTAAACTAATAATTACCATTACTAGAACAATATATCTTTCAATCGACGTTACAATTTAGAAATAACTACGAATAAAATTCAGTAAGTAATCGATGTGCTAACCATTACTTTTTGCAACTTGTTATAAAAAAATATTCATTTGTAGTCGTTTAATTTGTTTTGTTAGCTTATTGTTAATAGTGAAAGTATTCGATAAAATAAACAATCAGTAGTAAATGTACTAGTTTAGAGACTGATTTTATTCAAACTGTTTTTCTTTTATTTCAGCCATACTATGGCCATCACTAAAGGTACCGTTGAGTGTAGTGCGTCCAGCTTATGGTTCAGTAAATGGTCGATTTTTCCCTTATCGACAAATAAGAACAGAAGCAGTTTTTTCTATTGAAGAGGATACATGTCTACCATCTGCTGAATCAGTTGAACGTGCATTTGAAGTAGGTATTTCTGATATATACATATATATATATATATGATGAGGTGGAGACTTCTCTTGATTGAAATGTTTGGAAAATTGAGTATGCTCAGCCATGATTTACTCTTATGCATTATTTGTCCTAAGGAACAGACGTGTTTTGAGAGTAGCCTCGAAATGATTAACCCCAGAATATAATTCTAAACCATAGAGTTTATGGGCTTCAACTCAAGCTAGTCAGGGTAGAATCGTGAAGTTACGTGAAATTAGTGACTGAGGTCTGAAAGGTGCTACTTTTGGAAATTGGTTGTAATGGTACGACGATATGAAAGTAACTAACCAACAACAACAGCAACATCCAACGCCAATCACCATCAACGGGAGGGATTTGAAAGAGGTTACTTCATTCACTTATCTAGAGGGCATTGTCTCAACTACAGGAGGAACGGACGAGGATGTCAAATCGAGAATCGGGAAGGCGAGAAACACATTCATCAACCTGAAACCAATCTGGAAATCTTCGTCACTCAGCCTGCATCAACAACAAAATTCGGATTTTCAATACAAACGTCAAGTCAGTCAGTTCTTCTATACGGATCAAAAACTTGGCGGGTCACAAATAATATTTCCAACAGCCTGTTGCAGACCTTTATCAACAACTGCCTTCGCTCTATACTGAAGATCAGATGGCTGGAAAGAATCACCAACAAGAAGCTATGGGAACAAACAAAACAAGAACCAATCACCCAACAAATATGCAGGAGAAAGTGGAGTTGGATTGGACACTCGTTGAGGAGGCCGTTGGGTGACATCGCGCGTCAGGCCAGTGCTCGAGTGGAACCCGAAAGGGAAACGGCGAGTGGGACGTTCAAGGGTGACATGGAGGAGATCGTGTGTAGAGGAGCTGAAACAGTATGGAATAACATGGATGCAGAAGACAGAAGCAAGTGGAGACGTGTAGTTGAAGCCCTATGTTCCACGAGGAACCCAAAAGAACAGTAATCATAATATTAGACTTTGTCAGTTTTACACGGGCTGTCAATCAGTGCACAAATCACTCATTATGCTGTTTAAGTTTGAATCGCTTTTTGCATAAAACTATACACCACTGATTGGTTGAGATGAATAGTTGTATGCCACTTATATCAACCAGTAGCGCGCTTTGTGTAGCCAAATCGAAGTGATTTACGAACTGCTGTCTGCCTGTCTATTGAGTTAAAAACGTCGTATAGTTATCCCCTTTGGTAAATTTGAATAATGCAATTAGAATGTCTTTTTCAGTAAAAGACAAGTTCATTATTTATTAAATGTTTCTGCCCGGGGGACCACTACAACCCACTGAAGATGCAGTTTTATTCAGATGACGAGTCCTAAATAGGACGAATTGCGTATACTGGTTTCCACTGCTAGTCACCATCATCCCTCATATCGTATAATTTAATTGGAAATTTTTTATTATTTTGAATCTTAATTATTTTGCTTTGCTTTAAATAGCTATGGTGCCAAAATCCTGAACGATTAGTCAGTTTATCTGGAAGACAATCTGAACAGCTCTCTTGGCATCTGTTTTACAATAATGGTAATAATAATGATAATAATAATCAGTCGTTTTCTGCCACTTTTCCTGCAGTCTTTTTCCATAAGGTATGCATAACTGTTATTCTCTTAATTTATTTATCACACCAGTGATAACTGTGTTGTTATAATCTGGAGTCATTTTAATACACATAAGTGAAATTTTTGTTGTTCAAAGCCTATGCTCTATATCAGTATATACGATAAGCAACCGATGAAAGTGAATTCAAAACTTTAAATATGAGTTACGATAATTTACTGAGAGCCTGATAAAAACTTGTACGGTTTAACTGCATAATTCTTGATGCATGTTTGTCTCCTGAGTGCATTTTGTTTACCTTGGAATGTATAAAATTTATATTTAGTGTAATGCACATTGCACTTTCGCTTAAAGTGGAGTTTCCGATCTATAAATTTAGACACTTAATTTTGACTCATTACCCATTACGTAGAAAAATAAACGCATTCAACGCTTCCAGTAGTAAATTATGTTCGAAATTTTCAAGTGTTAGTTTATAGGGGTTTGATTAGTTCCAAGTTTGGTCACGGATTGATTGATATCAGTTAGAGAACAATTACAAGCGAGGGTGTACTGGGTAGCTTTTTGTCCTAGTCTGGAGGTCATCGGTACGTAGTGATGAAGAGACCTGAATGAGGACGAAACAGCTGCCGAGTAATTCCTGGCTTTCAATGGTTCTCTAACTATGTTCGAAATCTCATCCAGTAAACAATACTGTTTCACTGTGTGATATGTCCAATGAATAAATTCATATGGAGTTTGTTGACTGTAACCTATGCGCTTTTTACTGTTGTATTATTTCAAGTGTAAGCGTTCACATTTACACTGTTTATTGTGAAAGATAGAACCACCGATTAGTGTCACGCTAAAATACAATAGTACTTCAACTTAACATCAGTCTCGAGTACATCTGTTCAGTGAGAACTGACAGTGCCTGCATATACCAATATCCTGTATTCGGGTCTATTTATATCTAATTATTCACTATTCTTTTGATGAATGGATAAATGAAATCAAGTGAGCGCTATGAATTTTACCACCCGGCAACAGTAAAGCATAGACACCAAAGTCAAATGACTTTGAATCTACCAATTATATTCATCTAGGTGACAAATGGCTTTTTTTTGAATAAAAGGTGTGTTCATGAGACATATATGTAATAAGCCTGAATTATATAGGGTACATATCTCCAAGATTCCGTAAAAACTGGTCCCGGTTTCTCATAGGAGTGTCTGTAGACATATCAAACCAATGTCGATACAAAAATTCATCTAAGTGGCTGTATATCATATCACATCGAGAACCATTGGATATTATAATACGTTTTTTTAGATAGACCCAGAATCCTTCAACAGAATTTGTATGAGTTCCGCTTATAAGATATACTAATTCAGAAGTATGATTTACTTTATGATGAATATTGTCTGATGATGATAATTGCAAATTACCTTTCTACTCGAGTGTATGAATGGTAGTGCCTAGAAGAACTAGTCGTTGTATTATTGGTATTAAAACATCTGGGTGAAACCTGCAACGAAGATAACGAACATCATCCATGTGTAATACCGAGCCATCCTATTGGTTGATTCAAGGCCATTTGACCTTGGTGTCTATTCTTTACTGTTGCCCACATCCTTCTGTCTGTTTTCCAATTAGATGTTATTAAATGGTAGGAATCAATCTGTTGAAAGCAACAAGCGTAGATCTGACGCTTGTTGGCACTCATTGTCAAGACATATTTGAAATCCCAGGGGAATTTTCTGTTGATTTCTCCATAAGATCGTCTGTTTGTATATAGAAACTACACAGTTTGATTATTGACGTACATTAAATGATATGTTTTGTAAACACAACTCATTTTCAAATATTAAAATGTATAGTCACAAATATAAGCTTGTTGTATTACAATGAATAATTTTGTTCCCTTTCTGTACTCTGTTCTCTCATCTCTTTTACCACAATTAGCACTACTTACATCTGTATACCGATCTATTGGCTGTCCATGTGAAATCATTTGTCGATAAGTTGGAGACATGTGAAGATGTATTCTTGTATTGGCTTATTGTACAAACATCTGGTGGCCAGTCAGTATTGAGCACTTCTCCTGTGTACAATTATAATTCATCCAATTTGTATAATTTTACCAATCCATTATTGAATGAATGTCGTCCTGTGCCTAAACATTGTTCACTTCATGTAAACCAATTATCTTCTTTTGTGAAAAGCTTTCGTCAATCAAGTTATCCTTTCAAAGTTTCACAGTTAACTGCTGATGCCTTATAATAAAATGCAAGATTGGATTATCTGCCTTCTGCTGTTGTTATTCATATTAACATTAATACTGTTTATACAACGGCATTTAATTCGTCTGCTTCTATCATTATGTTTTTGTTTTTTTAAAATTATTTTTATTTCAAGATGCAGATTGTACATCTTCATACACAAGTGCCATACAGCTATATATATAAGAGATTTTTCAGTATTGTTATCTATTCGAGTTTTCTCTTTTATTGTACATCACGTTAAATGGTCTAAATTCCTTTATCTTTTTTTTTATAAGTCTTTAAACGAAGTATTCACTAAATCTTGCAGTCTCCAGCTTGGATAATAACAATAAAGTTTCAAATTTCAGTTTTTTAACTTCTCACCCACCTCCCCTCTTCCCCGAATTTGTTAGCTGAATGTATTTAAATCTCGGAGAATCTTTTATGGTTGTTGTTACTGTTATATGACTGGTAATTCCGTTGGGATACTGATTTATTATTATTATTATTTTAAGGCAATTGATATTTATATTCTAATAGTTGCGGATCAGTTCATCTTGATGAGTTTGCAACGGATTATGACTAACAGTAAAAACTGAATTGTTTCTATTATCTCTCTAATACAGACCAACAGGTACAAACTGAAAATCATAATGAAATAAGAACCGTAGATTCATGTGACAAAAATATTGTTCAGTGCTTTCTGGTTGCACTCACCCCATGACTTATATCAGCTTGACATAATTTTCCTTAGAATTGAGGTAATCTCTACTATTTGAAATAGCCTTAAATAGGCAGACTAGACCCGGGATTTTAAATGACGGGTGAAGGGAAAAATGAAAATCTTGACTGAGACAGGGTTCAAACCAGCGCCCCGTGCGAGTTACTTATACCATAAGTCTATCAGTTAAGACATTTTTTCATCCCTTGCATTCTAAATGGGACATAGAGTTGGAAGCTTTAGTCTTTGAATTTTCAGTAGCAGTGGTGTTGTTTTCATGGGGTAGAGTTGCTAACCCCACGCACAAGCTTTTCTATTTTCAAGGCTTACTATCGGCTAAGTGAGATTTACGAGTCCGCTGGTGGGGAATCGAACTTAGACCTCTAGTGTAATTAGTAATCAGTGTATCATTGAACCTCCGACAACCAGTTGTGCTAGCCATTACCACAAGCGAACACTGTGGTATTTGCATCCCTTATTGAAGTACAGAGTACTGAATGAAAACAGTTGTTATTCATATTCAGTTTAAATGTCTTATTTCTGTCATTGTCTTTATTTCTCAGGTTTTACTCTACCACAGCATTTTAATTCAGTTTCATTATGCTGCTGATCTATGACAGTCGTAGCAAAGTATCGCCTCCTTACAATTCTAGTTGCAGGCAGCAAGTTAAAAAGCAACTCGCAAATCCGAAATAAGTACCTTGTGAATAATCTACTTATAATTCTCTTAACTTGTTTGTCTGAAATAGGTCAGGCTTAACACCAAACACAGTGTACCCAGTTACCTAGTAAGTTTTCTATATGGTTTCATTATGAATCCAGCCAATGCATAGAACTAAATAGCATAATACTAATTACGATGTAGTAACTGGTTTGTGCTATCTATCCTTAACTAACGGATACACTGACACTTTATTCAATTAAATGAAGTTTAGAATTACAAAATGGACATCTAGAAGCTAAGAGAAACATAATAAACTTTTATTTTAGGATAGTGCCAGTGAAGTTAATCAGTTCACTTCGATATTAATTTGTTTATTAAATGTATCACACAGTGAAACAGTATCATTTAATGGATGACGCTTCGAACACAACTTATTGTTCATAATCATAACAATCATAACCACACAACTTTGAAACTTTCGTTTCTTAGTTTTCTTTATTCTTTCCTAATCGTCATAGGGGTAGTAGAATCTTACAGATGCCCATTTGGACAGGTGTTGAATCATTCGCATTACACGTGTTTGAAGTTGATTCGATAAACCATGCTTCTCTTATCAATCTCTCCCTATACCCTGTGACATTAGATTTTAAAACTGTCATTCTATCCCATCCTATTGTATAGTTGTGTGTAATTGCATGTAGTACTATGGCTGAACTATTCTCCAGATTTCTTATCTTATTCGGGTCAACTAATCTAGATTTTGCAAGGTTTCTATACTGCGCTAGTCTGGCTGACCCCGTTCTACTACTTTGACCTGAAAATCATTCCAGAAGGGTATTAGATGAACTAAACTGCTTTGTTTAATTGGCTCTACATGATCCTTTAACCGACAAAGCTTGTTTCTAATTGAGTTTCTGGGTTTGAATGCCACTTTTATTCCTGCCTTGTAAAGAATTCTCCATACGGTTTCCGAGGTTCCTTCTTTGCATGGAAGTACTGCTGATGATTTATATTCCCTATTGTTGGTGTTGTCATTATTCTGTGCATGTTTGACACGCACATCGTCATTAACATTATTATTATCACTACCGTTATAATTAATAATAATGGTAGTACTACATGCAGTCACACACAACCATACAATAGGATGGGATAGAATGACAGTTTTAAAATCTAATGTCACAGGGTATAGGGAGAGATTGATAACAGAAGCTTTGTTTATCGAATCAACTTCAAACACGTGTAATGCGAATGATTCAACACCTGTCCAAATGGACATCTGTAAGATTCTACTACCCCTACGACGATTAGGAAAGAATAAAGGAAACTATCAAACGAAAGTTTCGAATTTGTGTGGTTATAACTGTTATGATTATGAACAATAAGTTGTGTTCGAAGCGTCATCCATTAAATAATACTGTTTCACTGTGTGATACATTTAATAAACAAATTAATATGGAATCACCTACTACTACAGCGCCCAATTTTAACACATATATTAAACAATTCACTGCTGGTCGTCGCAACTTGTGTGCATTAACACAAAGCATTTAACTTACTATAGACATTTAGTGGAAACAAATGATGTCTTTTAATTTTTACTGTCGAAATCTTTCCTAACTATTTTACAGTACGCTGCAGCAACAGTAGTTTACATATTGTAATCGCTGAAAACTTAACTTCCTTTCGAAACGCACTACTATCATGCTAATCATTTCACTTATTTGTCGATTTTCACAGACTGTACCCTTATCATCACTATAATAATAATAATCATCAAACCGCTTTCCAGAAATATAGTCAATTGTTTGCTTACATTCGTTCTTAGAATCTAAAAACAACAGCTCACTTAATTATTGGTTTGGTTCAGCCACTTGGCTGGGTCGGCAGTAGGTGAATAAAACCGTTCCATTCTCTTGATTGACAAGCTGAACTACATCCAAACGGAAAGGTCCTGGAGGACAATGGACTAATATATCTTATTTATTGCTGTTCATCCTGGACAATACCATATGTTATAAGAGTAGTGCATGAAAATTAAAAAGAATTCTACTAAAAAAAAGTGATAATTTATTTCATAATGCAAAATCGATTTAATTCTCACTATTTCTATAAACATAAAACTGTTGCTAGCAGGAAGACAATGTAACTACTGTTGTAGGTCAACTTCAATCTCTTGAAAACGACTAGCTAAATGTCTGTCAAATGGTTGTGATGGAACACCAGGCAGACCGTGATCCCAACCATATCGTTCACGTGCTTCAGCTAACTTTGCTAGTCTTTCTTCACGATTAGGTTGTGGCAGCCAGGGATAACGAGGACATATACGTATATCTTGGGAACTTAGCGTTTTTTCTAATGAACGTGTATGCCTAATTAAGTTGGATAGATGAAAAGGTTTATTTATTAAATCAGGATATAAACCAGGTAGATTATCTGGCGGAGAGAATTTTCTGCTAGAGGATTGTGCACGTTTGCTTGAAGTAGTTGATCTAGCTGTACCCGGTCGCTAAAAAGGATACAGAATGAATATAAATTAGAGATCATAAGATCAACAGTAATTAAATAAAAAAGTTATCAGTTAACTCAAATTGTTCTAGCTGGCACGCATTTTAGCATTAAGATTAAATTATTCACAGAAGGTAACTCGACATATCATTTCTTTTTATTACTGCTTAAATAGCATTCAGCCACTGGGACCCGATTCAATGGCCCATGAATTCTAACTTCTACCTATTCGCGATTTTAACACGACCACCAACCAATGTCATCGGTGGGAAATTCATCCTCACTCCCTAATAGATGGACCTCACTGGTCATGACTTCTCACTAGAACTCCAGGAAACTCCGTCCTGTACCAAGTCACTAGCGAGTATCGGATTAATTTCCAAGGGTTGATTTATAAGGATTAGATTTGTTTTTCTAGTTTGACCACGGATTGATATCAGTTAGAGAACCATTAGTAGTTGCGCTAAAATCACGAATAAGTAGAATTTAGAATTCATGGGCCATCGAATCGGGTCCCAGTGTCTGAATGGTATACGAGCTTGCCTTGTAACCGGAAGATCCTGGTTTCGAACCCCAGTGGGTGCGTACTGCCGATGATTCCCAAACTAGGATGAAACAGCTGTCCAGTACTCCCTGGTTTTCAATGGTTCTGTAATTGATATCAATCCGTGGTCAAACTAGAAAAACAAATCTAATCCTTACAAATCAACCCTTGAAAATTAATCCGATACTCGCTAGTGACTTGGTACAGGACGGAGTTTCCTGGAGTTCTAGTGAGAAGTCATGACCAGTGAGGTCCATCCAGTCAAGTGTGAGGATGGATGTCCCACCGATGACATTGATTGGGTTCGCGCTAAATCACGAGTAGGTAGAAGTTAGAATTCATGGGCCATTGAATTGGGTCCCAGTGGCTGAATGGTATACGAGCTTGCCTTGTAACCGGAAGGTCCTACTTAAATAGTCGAATTTAACCTGCAGAAAACTGTAAACTAACTTTATCTGCTGAACAATAGTCATCAAATTTTGGGTAACTTATGTTCTATCTGCAGCTGGAGCCATAAACTCGCAATGTCAGTCTACTAAGGTTAACAACTGAAGTGCACTTTGCCTAATTAGTAAAACTGCTTAAGTAGTAAAACCAAGGTATCATGTGAAATCTTTTTGGAGAAAAAAAATTAAGGTAATTTAAACACTGCTTATACTGTCAGTAGACGACATTGTGCTAACATGAAGTGGACAGGATAGTCCTCCATCCATACATTCGATGTTTTATTTTATTGTAAACTGTTGACCAGGCTTCAGTTCACGTACACTTCATTACCTGGATGGTAATAAGATCAATCCCTAACTTCATTAAGAATTTAGACATGCTTATAAGTTGTTTGAGTATTTGATTTGTACTTCTTTGTTCCTTTATGTTTCATTGAGTTGTAATAGGTGGAAATGATCTTTGTCATAATGATATATCTGTTTTTAAACTGCCTTTCTGTAAATATAATTCACTATAGGTTTGCTGAGGCAGCCTTTAATCGGTAAAAGAAGAATAGTTTTTCTCTGAAATCTATTCTATGAGAGGTTTTTTTGGGGAACCTTTCTGCTGCATTTAAGTTGTCACTGTTTAAGCTAACACGACACTCTCAATGGAAACTATGATTGCGAATACGTTTTATCAGAGCAAATATAAAGCCTTATATTAGCTTAACTACTAGTCAATATTCGTTAATTGTCTAAGTAATTTGGTAAGTAGACATGCTATGTTAGTATTGTTGGCAACATTTACAGTCATTTTAATAAATTTCAGTTATTTACTTTCGATAACGAAATTTCCGTTCGCTAAGTATTTTCAGTAGTTGTTTCATTGGTTTGTCTGCTACGCTATTAGTTGGCTAACGGTTTGTTGAGGGAAGTGATTTCCTTGTTGAGTTAAGTTAACTGGGTAATTCTTTGTTCTATTAATAAACATAGCTGGTAATCATCAGGTACTTCAGCCAGTTGTCATTCTTTTTGAATTGCTAGATAGTTGCTTAAATTACTGGACTACCTAAATTTCCATCCGGTATAAGTCTACATAAACCCTTCTCCATTTCTTATTGTTTTAATCATCTAACTGTGTTTTTCGACAGCTGCATGAACTCATACACAGTTTTAGTTTGCTGTAATGCAGAGCAATTCTCAACAAAAATGAGGAAAAATATCGTATGGATTTGGATGTTACTTCAGATGGAACAACACAACGTCACACGATGTACTGCTGAATACCATTTTGCTTGAAGATCCTGTACAAAGAGTAGATAGTTTACAATTTAAATACGCTGAAAATTCTGTAGTATGTGTTACCATATTGTCGAGAATAAAGCTATTATTACTGATATTAGTGTGCAGTGCATGTTTTATTTTGAACTGAATGTAAGCTATTTGAAATATCACCTTGCTATAAAAAAGCTACCTTGCGATTAAGCGTGTCTGTTAGGCATTATTGTACGTATTAATTGTAAGGCATTGGCTCTTAAATGAAAACTAAGCGTCAGAATGAAAAGCAGACTTTAAAGAGAACTTTTCGTAGCCAAAGTGTAGGGTCTTTAAAATAATTAACAAAATAAGGGTTTTAGTCATTATGCTACTGACTGACTGATATGAGTAACTGGACACGGTTCAAATCAATTAGTAGTGCTTAGTAGCCAGATCGAAGTGACTGAAACACCGGACTGTCGTTTCTCTCATTTGGGGCTTTGAACATCATCGGGGTATCCGTTACGACTCAGCTCAGCACGCCGTATCACTTAAAAACCCCTCGAATTCTGGATAGCTATTCAGGTGAATTGGTGATACGTTAAATCTGATTTGCAAATTAATTGTCAATTTGCAATTTACACAGTTCGACGTGAAATTTCAACACAGTTTCCTTTGATTGATGTGAATGTTGTTCAACTAGTCATGTCGAATAATCAGCAGTACATAACAACATGCACTTATACTTGATCTCTTGATTGCTAATAATGGTATCTAGCAGATCGCATATTGTAGTCTGAATAATTTTGGTTTTCGAGAGGAACTTCGGTGAAATTTCACTTTTTCGAACTGTGTAAATTGCGAATTGGATTTTAGTCAGTATTCATGCAATATATCATACATAAAATGTAATTTTGAAATCCACTCTAGTGTATGATAGGAAACACCTCACAAATCTTTATATATCTGAAATTACAGGTTGACTGTCCATTTTCAGTGTTCCAAAAGTATTTTCAGTCTTATGAAGAACGCTGTTTCAATGAAAATCGCCTTATCAAAAAGAGTGTATCTTTTTGAAGTTGTATGCAAAAGATAAGCTAATATATATAGTCAACCTTATAGGACTTTCTAAAACACTTCGCATTGAGTGATAGAGTTTATAGTTTTTATTGTAAATTCAAGTGTACCGTATCCCAATAGAGCATATCCATATAGCATGAACATAAATTACAGTTAGTTATTCAGATGAATAGGTAAATTAATACAATCAGTTATGCGGAAATAACAATAAGTCGCCTGTGTATCGTGTAGATCAAGTGTAAATTTGGTAAAAAAATAGTACGCATCATTTGTATTCTTAAATATTTGGCCTGTTG